GGGTATTTTCACTGCCGCCAAGAGGGAGTCATGACCGACAGGCTCCCGTGTCCATTTTCCCTTTCCTCCTTTCTATAAAGAAGTCCCCAGATTTTTGTGAGATATGTGGCTGCCCAACTTGGAGCTGTGTTCTCTGAGCCTCCCCTGCTGCTAGATGTGACCTTGGGTCTGATGGGGCCAGAGGGACAGGTGCTGCTTCTGGGTGTGGCCCTTGAAAGGGACTAGTGTGCCCTCCACTTGCCCTTTCCCTTCCCACGAATCTGATGGTGGTGGCCAGTGTCCCTCTTTGTTCTGACCATACCCGGGAAGGATGCAGAACAACTAGAGTTAGTCTAGGTCCCTGGATGATTTTATGGAGAGAAAAGTACAGCTATCTTGTTAAGGCTCTTTCTGGTCTAAGAGTGGCCACATCCTAACTATGATGCAGGAGTGAGGGAGGGAGGGGAATGCGGAGGATTAGGCCATGCCCTTCCCTGGGCCCATTCACCCTTCCCACAGTCTTAGCTAAGTGGTTAAGGAGCTACTTTGTCTTAGGTCTGGAAGGTCTCCCACTACCGATCTGCAGTCTACTAGGCCAGCGTCCTTGGACACGAGACCATTTTTTTTGAGGCTCCACTGCCTCATACAGAACATGGGATCCTACTGCCAGGTTCACAGGTAAGCATATGAGATCGTGTTTGTGAATAAAAATTTGTATTTGCTGAGCCTCTATTTCCCTTGTGCTGGGCAGGCCCCAGAAACAACCATACTTCATGAAGTAAGTCTGCCGTTTTACAGAGGACAAAACTGTGGTGCACATTAGTTGACTTACTTAGCATAGGGCAGTAAGGGATAGAGTGAGGTTTCACCTTGAGCAGACTGACCTCCATAACACAAACTCCTAGGCACTCTGTGCTTGCTCTACCTTGCCATTACATTAGCAGCGGTCCTGGCATCAGGTAACCTCACCGGTTCACCAAATGATAGTACCAAATTCTGAGTCACACAGTTCTGGGTGCTGAGCAAAGCGGAAAAGGTCCCTAACCCTCGTGGAATTTGTTTTGCTTGGGAAAACACTTCTCATATACTGCATCCAGTTATGCATAAAGCCATAATCATTGTTCACCACCACTTCTTATTTGGAGGGGTAAAGATCAAAGGCCTTTGATGTACTAGTCCCCCAACTCTCCACCACTACCATCCCGCCTCTCCTGTGTCTTTCCCTCCATTCTCACTGCCACTGGGAAGTCCTTGCAGTTCATCACTCAAGTACATTCCCACCTCGGGACCTTTGCACTTGCTATTCCTGCTGCCTAGAACACTTCCTCCATGTGTTTGCATGGTTTATCTCCTCATCTTCAGATTTTTTTTTTTAGAGAATCTTTTTATTTATTTATTTTTTAAAAATATTCTATTTATTTGACAGAGAGACATCACAACTAGGCAGAGAGGCAGGCAGAGAGAGAGGAGGAAGCAGGCTCCCTGTGGAGCAGAGAGCCTGATGTGGGTCTCGATCCCAGGACCCTGGGATCACGACCCGAGCCAAAGGCAGAGGCCTCAACCCACTGAGCCACCCAGGTGCCCCAGAATCTTTCTTTTTAAAAGATTGTATTTATTTGGAAAAAAAAAAAAAAAGTATTTATTTGAGAGAGAGCAGAAGAGGGGAGAGCGGCAGAGGGAGAAGCACACTCCCTCTGAGCAGGGAGCCCGATGGGCTAGATCCCGGGACTCTGCAATCATACAACCAGAGCTGAAGGCAGAGGCCCAGCCGACTGAGGCACCCAGGCACCCCTCATCTTCAGATCTTTATTCAAAAAAGACTTGAGTGAAGCTTTCCTTGGTAACTCTTACCTAAAATCCAATATCTCTCCCACATACCATGTAGTTATTACCTAGCCCCCTTTCTTACTGTATTTCTCTTCTTAGCACATATTACTTATGCCTTAAGCATAAGTTACATAAAACTCACCCATTTTAAATGTATACTTCAGGGGCTTCTAATAATTTTTTTTCAAGATTTACTTATTTTTAGAGAAGTTGGAGGGAGGGGCAGAGGGAGAGGAAGAGAGAGAACCTTGCACGGACTCCTTGCTGAGCATGGAGCCCAACATGGGGCTTGATCCCACCACACACAGATCATGACCTGAGCCTAAACCAAGAGTGGGACACTTAACTGACTGCATCACCCAGGCGCCCCAGTTTTTAATCATTTTTACCAAGTGGTGGAATTACTACCATAAATCAGTTTTCAAACATGTTTTCATCCCCCACAATTAGCTCTCATGCTCATAGTTAATCCCCATCTCCCGTGCAGCATCCAGCACCCCCTGACCTGCTGCCTCAGTAACCCTTCTCTGAACACTCAATGTGAGCTCTGGCCAACAACAGTATGTGGTCCTTTGGGCCTAGCTACTTGCGCCTGGGCAGAACGTTTCTGCACAATGCAGTACATGTCAGTGCATTCCTTTGTTTGGTGGAGTAGAGTCCTGTTATGTATTCACATTTTGTATATCCACTTACCAACTCATAGAAATCTTCATTTCCAGTTGTTTTCAACATTCTGTACATTTTACACCTTGTTTCCCCCACTAGAATATCAAGTCCCATGTGGCTGGGCTTTTGCTAGTTTTGTTAACCTCTGTATCCTCAGCAGCTGAGCTGTGCCAGGCACATAGTAGGTACTCAGCAAATACATGTTGAAGAAATTGACGATAAAGATAACTTTTATTGCCTTTAAGGGCTAAGCTGGTCATCAAGCAGGGGAAAGAGGTCAGAAGTGACAGGCCATGTGGAGCCAGCAGTCAGGGCAGGCCTCTCTGAGGAATGTGCCTTAGAGCAGAGACCTGAGTGCACGGGTTCTCTTCATCCCCAGGCCCCAGCTGTCACTCCTGCCTGCCTGGGTCCCGTCAATGTGGGGGCCCAGCTGCTGGTGGCAGAGCTGGCCTCACAGCAAGGGGAAGGGATGGCTCAGGCCTCCCCTCCCCACCCCCTCCCAGCAGCCTGACTGGCACAGCCCAGCTTGGGGAGCCCTCCAGGGAGAGCCACAGGGGCCAGAGCCTTGGACTTGAGCCACACTGGGTGTGAATCCCAGCTCTAGCCATTCATACTATACTGGCCCCTTGTCACCTTGTTTGGTCTCAGTGGTCTCATGGGTAAAATAGGGATAGTAACTAATACATACCTTCTAATTTAAAAAGCCTAAACATTATCTTACAAGCTGTGGATTCGTTTCTAGAACTGTGCCGAGCACAGTCCTAGAAACGAATCCATGACAACAACCCCATAAGGAGGCTGCCATGTACACGAAGAAACTGAGGCACAGACGGGCAAAATGACTTCTGAGCTCATCCCACTACTGAGTGATATAGTGGGTCTTCAAATTCAGGAGGTCGGTTCCAAGTTCCCGCACTTAACCCCTTAGGGCATAGCTTCTCACAAAGCCATCCGGGGTGGTTAAAGCGAGCTAATGTGGGGCGCCTGGGCGGCTCAGTGGGTTAAGCCTCTGCCTTCAGCTCAGGTCATAATCTCAGGGTCTTTCTGCTCAGCAGGGAGCCTGCTTCCCCACCCCCACCTCTCTGCCTGGCTCTCTGCCTACTTGTGATCTCTGTCAAATAAATCAAATAAAATCTTAAAAAAAAAAAAAAGGAGCTATGGTGCGTGACGCCCTTGGACCAGTGCCTGGCCCGCAGTTAAGTACAGAGTGTTAGCGTTACAATGGTACAGAGGGCCCTGGGAGGCGCCCTCTTATTTCTTCAAAAGCAGGCATCTGACCCTTTGGGGAAAGCGGGTGACGGCTCCAGCCCTCTCCCCAGATATCTACAGTTGCCCACACAGCAACCCCCCTCACTTGCCAAGGCTCACCAGGTGGAAATTTAGCAATCAACTGTCCACCCACCCCATTTCCCACAGAAAAAAAGCTGGGTGGTGCTGGGGAGCGGCTATGAGTCAAGGCTAAGGACTCTGACCCAGGTTGGGTGGGGCTCCTCAGAAGTCCCTGGGCAGGCAGTTCCCGCTGCTCCTCCCCTCGTCCTTCCCCCTGCCCTCCGGGCACTCGCGGCTCTCCCCACAGACCTCCTCTCACCACCATGGAGTTCGACTTGGCCGCAGGTGAGCTGGGAAGTGGGGCATTTGAGACACAGGGGGCCAGGCTAAAATCCAGCAACCTCCTTCAAGGGCGCATGCGCAGCACCTGCACCAACCCACCCAACTTCTCTCCACAGCCCTAGACTCCAAGAAGACCCAGGGGACGGGCCAGGGGGGAGACCATAAACACGGCCCCCACAAAGTTCAGGGCGCGTCAGAGACAGGGGCGGCTGATAAACCAAGGGTAAGGCACCTTAGGACCAGGCACATCCCTCCCAGGATGAAGGGGACAGCGGCGGGGTCAGCGGTCCCAGCCTCACTGCTTCGCCTCCCAACTGGCAGGGCCACGGTCACCGCAGCTCCTCGGACTCCAGTAGCAGCAGCGGCAGCTCCAGCGACTCGGACATGGAAGGAAAGGTAAGAGGCTCCCCGCGAGCAGGCGCTCCAAGTGAGGGGAGAGTCCCGGCCAGTCGTCTCACCGTCCTAACCCTGGCTCTCCCCTTCCATCCCCTTCACTCTCGGCTCCACAGCCTCACGCGGCCGCCTCGCAAGGACACGAAAGCACGCCGGCCAAGGTCAAGAAGCCCAAGGTGAAAAAGAAGGAAAAGAAAGGGAAGGCGAAAAAGGAGACTTCTCACTGACCGGCCCGGTGAAGTCTCATTAAATCTTTTCTCGACTCTCGGGTCGTCTTCTGGTCGCCAAGTTGGGTACCGGCCCCGCCCCGCCTCGCCCGTCCCCCTTCTCGGGGCAGGGCCTGCCCCCTGCCGGGCGGCCGCGCCAAAAAGAGGTGCGCACGCCGTTCCCATCACCGTTTATTGTTTCCGGAACAGCGGCCGCTCTACCGAGCGGCGGGCGCCGCTGGAGATCTCGGCACCTCGGCGACGGGGGGTGCGGGGGCAGGGTCTCGGGGTGGGAGCGACGCCGGAGCCCCGGCGGGCGGAGGAGCGGCAGCAGCCGGGGGCGTGGGCCGGGCCGCCCTCACCGCACCAGGTGGAAGGTGAGCCAGTACATGAGCAGGGGCTGCGCCGCCGCCACCGCCATGGTCAGATACATGCGCAGCTGGTTCCTGGCCCCGCGTACCGGGACGCCCTCGGCCGCCGCCTCCGCCAGGATCTTCAGCCGCAACGTCCGGATCTGGGGCGGGAGGGGGTTCGCCCTTGAGTCCCGGGCTGGGCTGAGGCGCCGGCAGGTACTTCCAAGCCCTGCCTCTCTCCCTCCACCGGGGCCGCTGGGTGGGGAGCCCAGGTTTCCCCCCCATATTTCCTCTAAGGGATGGTGAGGACTTGCTTCTCCCCAAGGCCCAGGAGCAAATGTGAGGGTTCTGAGCTGAGTGAGACGCGGAGCTTCATACCCTACCCGAGGAGGGCAGCAGGCTCGGCCGTGGCTGCTGCCACCCTGCTTATGTTGGCCGGATGACAGTTTTCAACACAAGCCAGGAAGGTTTTTTGTTTTTTGTTTTTTTAACCTTTAAGTAACGACCTCTAAGTCAAAGTTTCTCTGAGGGTGAGATTTGACCAACCAATTTTGCCCTCTGCTCCTCACACCTGCTCACACGGCCTACTCCCAGGGCCCTGGGGTGCCCTTATCATCACCCCCCTTTCTGCAAAACGGGAAACATGTTTAAAGAGAGGAAGGAATTTGTTGGGGATCCAGAGAAGCTGTTTCCAAGGGTACCAAACCTCTTTTCATCCTAACAAACTCTGGCAGGAGAGCCCACCATGGAAGGGTGGTGTGAGGCTGAGAGCCCAGCATGACAGGCCGGCTGGCTCCTGCTCTGCCTTCCTGTCCCAACTTAGACACCCCCTCTTCCAGGAAGCCCTGCTGACCCCCAGGCTGAGACAGGCACTTGAAGCCTCCTCAGTTCAGCAACGGTGCTCTCACCTCAACTCCTTGCCTAACATCCTCTGCTTGGATGCCCCAGGGGACCCCAACTCAGGGCTTGTGCCCTCAACCCTCCTCCTCCCTAGCCCCACCCGGCTCACCATGAACACAAAGATAGACACACAGCACCAGCCCAGCACCAGGTAGTAGCCAATCTTCCCAAAGAGCAGGCCCATAAGGACCCCGCCAATCATCCTGGGGAGAGAGGGGAAGGCTGGTCTGAGGGCAAGGCCTCAGGGCTGGGGCGGTGGTGGGGGGTGGGGTGGGAAGTGGGAGGGGGTTACTCACCCAACATATTTGTAGCCCAAGAAGGCCACCAGATCGATAGTGGTGAGGTCAGTGTTGACAGTGACCAGGTAGAGACTGAGCAGGATGGCCAGCACCTCCAGGGTCAGCCAGGCCAACGCAGAGCTTGCCTGCAGCCCGAGGAGGTCTGGGGAGAACCTGCGGGCACCAGGCTGTCACCCTGATGGCCGGCTCACACCCTCCCAGAGCATCCAGCTGGGGACAGCCTGTGTTGGGTGGGGCTAGAGATTGAACAGTGACCAAGAGGGATCTGGACTCTATCTTCCTGGAAATCTCGTGCCAGGGAAGGTGGACCTGTCCTCAGTGACAGCTCCGAGAGGTTGGGGCTGGGATGAGGGAAGCACAGGGCATGGGAAGTGCCTGACCCACTCAGGAGAAGGTGTCAGAGAGGGCACCCCCAGAGGAGAAGACACCTGAGCTAAGGCCTGAAGGAATAAGGAGTTGACTGGCAGGGAAGGACCATGGCCTCTGCCATATCCCAAGTACAACAATTAACTGATTCTAATGACAGTTCAGTGCCACAAAAGAAATGAACTGGAGCCTATGAGCGAGATGTGGGAGCTTCACCCAGTTGGGGGTGGGAAGACTTCCCCAAGTAACTGACACCAGAGTTGAGACATCGCAGGTGAGCAGGTGCTCAGCAGGTGATGCAAGGGAGGAACATACTCTGGAGCAAAGGGAATTGGATGTGCAAAGGCCCTGGGGTGGGAATGGACAGCACCAGGCCCTCTGGAGGATGGAACAAGGACTAGAATGGTGAAGCAGAGTCAGGACTCTGAGTCAGGACAGAGAGAGGCTGCAGGGAGGCAGTGCAGTGCGTGAGACTAAGGAGCCAGGGCTAGATCTGGGGATGGGAGAGCTCTGGGCAGCTTCTGAGCAGGGTAGACAGGGCCAGACCCAGGTCTCAGACCAGATCTTCCTGGCTGCTGTTGGAGTCAGGGTACAGAGGGCCTGTGAGCAAAGCAGCTGGTTAGGAGGCAGTGAGGAGGAGCTGGATCTGGTGGTGGAGGCTAAAAAGGATGGAGTCACCCACCACAGGTGTGGTGATGGGCTGCATGTGGGTGGAAAGCAAGGGAGGAGGCGAGGGTGACACTGACCGTGACCCCAAGGGCTCTGTCCTGGACCAGATGGGTGCGTGGTGGTGCTGTTCCAAGACAGATCCAAGAGACCTTCCTGACTGTCCCTCAGCCCCCCAAACCTCACCCCACTCTGCCTACCCCAGGCCTCCCTTACCTATCCTGGGTCCCCAGCGCCAGGCCAGCCACCAAGACATAAGTGATGAAAGCCATAGCTGTGGGAGGCAGACACACAGACACTGGTCAGAGGAAGATGGACCATCCCAGGCCACTGGGCACCTAGACCTCTGCCCTAGACGTGCCCACCCAGAGGGAGGAGGGTGCGGGGCAGTGATGGGGAGGAGGAGACCTGGAATGTAGAGGTCAGGAGCATTGACGTCAAAGCGGGGGGCCACAGGTGTGTCTTGCTGGTACTGCACTTCCCAGTCCTGTGGGGAGAGTGAGGGGAGCAGGTGGGACCCACAGAGTGGGCTCCTCCCATGCTGCTTCCAGGCCCCCTCTCGGGGCAGACCTACCCCCCCTACACCCAATACCTGCCTGGCCTCTGACTCACCCTCTACCCCCACCCCCCACCAGCCCCAGACGATCCCCCTCCTCGGATGGCGTTGCCCTCCATGGCGCAGTGCTGACCTGGTGCAGGTAGGGGAAGACGAGCAGGCCCAGCTTTTTGCCCACATACATGGTGTCCACAGCAAAGTAGTACTTGAGCTTGGTGACAGGGATGAAGCGGTCGATCTAGGGGGAGGCAGAACCCAAGCCTGAAGCCCTGGCCTCACGGCCCCCGCCTTCCCCCAACCCGGGGCAGCCCAGTGCACTCACGTTCTTATCCACCAGCTCCTTGCCCTGGGCAGCCAGGCTGCTCCCGTAGGCCATGGCCATATTGGACACAGGATCCGCCAGGAAGGCAGCCTGGGTCGAGGCGGAGGCTGCAGGGTAGCCCAGGCCACCAGGTGCTCTCTGGGCCCTGTAGCCTTGGCTCTGGGTCGAACTTGTATCATCGAAGAGCTGGTGGGGGTCGGCCATGCCGGGCTGGGACACTGGGATCCTCCGCTTGGACGCTGCAGGGGAAGAGGGTGGGGGGGCGTCATTCAGGCCGTAGGCGCTCTCCTCCATCTGCCATGAAGCCCTGGTTTGCAGGTCAGATGGGCGTCGAGGCAGGCGCGGGGTGGACTCTGTCTGTCTGTCCTCAATCCATCCAAATCACCACAGTGACGATGATGTCGAGAGCTACTTTGTGCTGGGCCTGCTGTCCACAGGATCCTGTCCTAAGCCTTTTACAAACAGGGTCTCGGTCAGTGTCTCCCTTTGCGCTCCCCTCCTTGTTGGCTCTAGCTACATGGGCTTCAGTGGCCAGCGAAGACACCAGGCATGCTCCACCTCAGGGCCTTTGCAAGGGCTGTTCTCTGCCCGAATGCTCCCCCACCCCCTCCCCATGGCTCCCTCCCCTCCTTGAGGTCTTGGCTCTGCAATGCCTTCCCTACCATCCTGTCTCCGACCACATGGTCCTTGACAGCACTCCCCATCCCCCTTCCCTGGTGCACTTACTATACCCAGAACACACTAGCTCATACACTGGCCACTTGCTTTATTTTGTTCACTGTCTCCCCACTCAAATGGGAGTCCCCCAAGGTGGGGAGCTTGGTTTTGTTCATGCCTGGATCCCCAGCCCCTAACACAGAGCTGGAGTAGAGGGCTGATGAAATGCTGAGAAATGAGGGCCCACCCCAAGTTACAGAGGTGGTGACAGGCCAGGATGGGGGGAGGGCGGGGGTGGGGATGACCTATGTGCAGCGCCAGGCTGAGCGAGTGACGGGACAGGACTCTAGCCCAGGCAGGCCTGCTCGATGTTAAAGGTAATTAAACCCAAAGTGAGCACTTGCCACATCCTGGGCAGTGTTCTACGCACAATGGACTAACTCATTTATCTGCGTCAGTGCTATTGTCCACCCCCACCCCCCGCCCCTGCTTTACAGACAGGAAAAGCCAGCCCCAGAGAGGTTCGGGCCCTTGCCCAAAGTCACTGGGCCAGAATGGAGCAGAGCCAGGCTTCAAGTTTTTAAAAGGTCCCTCTGGCTTCTTGTGGGTAACAGATTGGGGTGGGGGGGTAGGGGGAGGGAGGGAACTGCTCCAGTGGGGGAGTCGTGGGGGGAGAAGAAGGGATGGAGGGGTAGGGGCAATGGTGGAGAGGGGCCTGCGGGTCGGAAGGTCAGGACTTGCTGGAGGCGTGCTTAGTCAGGGTAGGGTAAGGATGAGAGAAGAGAAAGGGAATGTGGAAAGGATGAATTTGAACCCAGCGCTCTGGCCCCAGGGTCCCTGCTCCCAACCCGGAAGCAACGCCAACCCAGCAGTTACTGAGTGAGCTCCTCCTGTGTCCCAAGCGCCACCGTGGATCCAGGGAGCAGGTAAGAGGGTTACAGTTGGATGGGGGAGAGGAACTCGATAATCTGTGTGCTGACTCTGTCCTCATTTCAGTTCTCTCTTCCGTGGAATAGTTCATGGCCCAAAGCCCAGTGATGCTCATTAACTCCTCAAGCCCTGGCCTGTCCATCCCTGCCCCTTACTGTCAATTACAAGGCCCTCAACTCTTCCTCTCAGTTATCTGTCGCCTGAAGACAGATCCAAGGGCGCCCAATCCCAAAGCCAGCAGCACTGATCCCAACCCACTTAAGCCCAAGGCTCACCGGCCTTTCCCCCTGCCCCTTCAGTGCAAGCCCTTCCTTCCTCCCTGTTGCACCTCTTCAGCTCTCAGTATTTGGGGTTCTGCCTCCCACTGACCTCCTAAACACCCCTCGACACTGCCAGCCCAAGGCCATTAGCCACTAACACCCGGCTCGAGCAGCATGTGACGCCCCCGTGCTCTCTGCTCTTTTGGCTTCCGAGACACAGCACCCACCTCCTCCTCTTTCCTGAGCCCCACAAACATCTCTTAAGCACCCCTGTGTGTTAGGCTCTGCTGCAGGCGTGGTGGACAGAGCAATGATCAAAAAGACCAAAAGTCCTGCCTTTCCAGAGCTGAGGGTCTCCAGTTTGGTCACTCTCCACCCAGCACTTTTTCTTTTTTAGCTTCCTGAAACGTGTGGCCCAGTTTTGCACACTTCTGGCTTTGCCTCTCACCCACCCGCGGCTTTCCCAGCCACTGTGCGCCTTGGGCGGTGGGCCCTGTCTCCAGCCACCACTTCTCTCCTGGCCCCACACCCAGGTCCGTCCAGCTCCCGACAGTGCCCTCCCCCCAGTGTCCAAGCCTCTGATTCCCCTTCTCTCTGGCACCCAACCACCTAATCGCCAGTTCTCACCCACTATGTTTCAATGTTTACCTTCCCCTTGCAGACTCCATGGTCTTGAACGTGACTTAAATGTCCTCCTCCTAAATCCCCCTGCCCGTTCTTGCTCTGCCAACCTTCTCTCCAGTCAGCAGCCACAGTGATCTTAAATGTGCAAGGAAACATCTCTTGTCCCCTGCCTAAGATCAGTCCCCACTGTGCTGGGAATAAAATCTACAGGCCTACAAGGCCTGGCATGACCCCAGCCTGGCCAGCCACCTTCGTTTGCTACCACTTGGGCCTCACTGCACCCAGTCACACACTGGCCTCTTGGGCCCCGACTCTGCCAAGCTCCTGGCCCACACAGGCCTTGGAACATGCAGTGCCAGCACTGTGGAATATCTTCCCACGATTGATTAACACCTGCAACATAGCACTGAGGCTCTGTACTGGTAGCTCCCTGAGGACAGGAACCAGGGCTGTGGCCACAGCATCACCCACCACGTGGCCCACCATGCACCTTATTAATGGCTGAAGGGAGGAATGAGGACATCAGGCCTCTGAACCTCCACTGCATCCTGGATTCTTCCCTTTACAGGGAAAAATCACTCCCCACATTTTCCGGCTGACTTGCTTGTTCCGAGTTTAGCATCTGTCTCACCGCTAAACTCGGAGTTGGAAGTTACCAAGGACTACTGCTAGGCTGGTTATTACCAGGTACCCAGATTCCAGCACAGGTCCTGCCTGGCCCTAGGGGAGCTGAGGCAGGATCTGCTCAAGGAAGAAATGAGATGCACGCGCACTCGCCGAGATGAATAACTTCAAGAGAGATACAAATTAAGAGACGGAAAAAGGAGTGTAGAGTACAAGATATACAGGTTCAAATCTTAAATGAGAGGTAAACAGGGTCCTCTCAGCTCACGAAGGGTCCTGCGGAGCGTGGGCGACAGCCCGAGGCCACCGGAGGCTGGGGAAAAGGCTGATCGCTAACTGCAAATGAATGAAAGTCCCGTTTTCCTGCACAGCACAATATCCTGCCCAAAGTTGTTTTCTTCCAAAGGAATTTCCTAAAGAAGGATCGACCCCAACGCGCCCCCTACCCGGTCCTGGCATCCCAGTGCAGTGCACACCCCGAAGCTCCAGCTCCCTGACCCCGTGACCTCCGACCTGCAGCGACCTCGCCAACTGCCGTGGAGCCCCGCCACGCCCCCGCCAGCCACCCCACCCCCACCGCCCAGATCTCCACGACTGGCCACGTACGCCACTTACGCTGCCGGGGCGTCCCCGCCGCCGCCAAGCCTGCCGGGTGCATCCTTCACCGTCGCAACCGTCGCAGCCGCCGCAGCCGCAGCCGCCGCCGCCCCAGCCACGGTTCGAAATGTGCCCGCCCGGCTCCCGTAGCCACGGCCCACCGACGACACGACAGCCAATGGGTGTCAAGATAGCTCAGAGGCCACGCCCCTCGCGGAGGCCTTTACGAGTTGGCAGTGGGTAAGAGGCGGGGACTGGAGGCCGGTGGCGGAAGGCAAGAGTGAGCACTAGTTTAGCCGGAGGGCGGGGCCGAGGACAATCCTAGGAGTTGGCTCTATCGTGCATGATGGGAAGTGTAGGCATCGAGGGATGAGACCGACGGGAAATGGAGACAGACGATCGATTTGGGTCGCTGAGAGCTTTGGGGAGCCAGGGAAGGGTGTGGAGCGGGGGAGGAGAGATCCATTTGTATTCTCGAGGGGGCTAAGCGGAGTTGTGCAGACTCTAACGCTTATACAATTTCGGCAGACCTTAAGTATTAAGGTGAGTATTTAGAGTGAGAAAAGGGCACCTGATAAATTAGGTAGGAAGAACCAGGTGTCGTAAAAATGCTCTTGCGTCGCGACCTGGCTTCGGCGGGTTTGCCAAAACTACTGCACAACCTCCAGCCACAAGGAGCACGCAGAGGCACACCCGCAAGCGAGCAATCCTAAAAATGGAGGCTCCTTAGTCTCTCTCTGTCCCTCAGTGTCCCCCTTTCTTTCCCCTTTCTCTGTCCCTCAGTCCCCTCCGCCTGTCTCAGGCAAAAGTAACGGTAGAAGCTACTTCTGGGCAGTGATAGGACTCCGGAAGGATGTCAGCAAGTGACCCTGTCACTGTGGCTTTCCATTTCCTCCTCTGAGATGTCTTTTCTAGGGACCTCGAGGACTGGTCTGGCCTCTCAGTTATGAGTCCTGGCTCAGTCGCGGTCCTTTTTTCATGACTGAGGTACCCCCATTCCTCCTCTGGACCCCTGGCTTAGCATCCAGCTCTCCCCCCACCATTTTTCATCCGCAGCTTTCCCTGTCTTAAGTTCTTCCGTGAATATTTTGTGATATTCACAGTATTAATAAAGGAAGCGTTTTGGCTTCCAGCTGGCCTCATATTTACCCCTTACCAGTTGTGCGACTGGACCCTTTTTCAGCCTAAATGTTCTCATCTGTTTAATGGGAATGATATAGGAGAGGTTGAGGATTCACTACAAGGCCACTCTGTCCACAGGGCCTGACATAGTGTAAGCCTGTGATCACTGGCAGCTGCTGTTTTTCTGTTTTTTATTATCAAGTGTCTCTTCCTGTGGGTTGTCAGCCTCAAGTTGGGCTCTGTCCCTAGAACTGTCACAGCTTCATAAATAGAACCAGCTGGGGTGTGTCCAAGCCAGGTCCCAAGCCCTGCTCCTTTGCCATTCTTATGTGGTCGGGATTCCTGGCTGCCCTCCAATGGCCGTTAGGGAGAGTACTGAGTTACAGCTGGAAGTGTATGTGGAAAAAAACAGGGACCAGGGAAGAACTCCCACCCCCCTAAATAGAGGGGTATACTGTGGTTCTGCTAGGAAGAGGGACCCTGGCTCACTCCTGTTCTCCCTTAATGCCTCAGTCCAGACATCCCTTTCTTTAGGAAGCTCTCTTCACCCCATCTAAGCTGGATCAGTTATCTCCTCTGGGTTCCTGGGGGATCCATCCCGTCTTTTCGTATCCCCCATCCCAACTCCAGTCACTCTGTGCTTCCCTTATCACACCCCTAACCTTCTTGGCTGCCACTCTGGGAGCACCCCCCCCTCCCCGCCCGCTGCGGTCAAGGTCTAGAACTTGAAGTGCTGGGACCCCACCCCACCCCCTGCCAAGGTGGGCTAGGTCTAGAGCTGTCTGGATCACTGCTGTATCCCCACCAAAGGGCCAGACATGAAGTAGGTGCTGAACAGAGATTTGAGCTAAGGATACCCACTCTGTCCATGAGGGATAGGGGACACCTGCCTTGTGGTGTCCCTTGTTGTGAATTATTATCATTATTATTTTTATTTAAATTCAAGTTAGTTAACATATAGTTAATTTCGGGATAGAATTAGTGATGCCCAGTGCTCATTCCATCAGGCGCCCTCCTTTAGGCCCATCACCCAGTTCCCTATCCCTTCACTTATTTCCCCTCCAGCAACCTTCAACTTGTTCTGTACAGTTAAGAGTCTCTGAATTTTTTTTTAAGATTTTATTTATTTATTTGACAGACAGAGATCTCAAGTAGGCAGAGAGGCAGGCAGAGAGAGAGAAGGAAGCAGGCTCCCCGCTGAGCGGAGAGCTAGATGCGGGGCTCGATCCCAGAACCCTGGAATCATGACCTGAGCCAAAGGCAGAGGCTTTAACCCACTGAGCTACCCAGACGCCCCTCTCTGAATTTTTTTTTAAGATTTTGTTTATTTATTTGACAGACAGAGATCACAAGTAGGCAGAGAGGCAGGCAGAGAGAGAGGGGGAAGCAGGCTCCCTGCTGAGCAGAGAGCTGGATGCAGGGCTCCATCCCAGGACCCTGAGACCATGACCTGAGCGGAAGGCAGAGGCTTTAACCCACTGAGTCACCCAGGCGCCCCCTCTGAAAAAATTTTTTAAGATTTATTTATTTTAGAAAGAGAGAGGGATTGCGCGCCTGTGAGCAGGGGGAAGTACAGAGGGAGAGACTCTTCAAGAAGATTCCGGGCTGAGCCGGGTCCAACCCCAGCAGGATCCCACAACCCATGAGATCACTACCTGAGCGCAAACCAAGAGTCCTGCGCGCCCAGCCCCCTGAGTTCCCCAGGCGCCCCCCTCCTTGTGAATTATACAGTGTCCCCTCCGGGCGGGTGCAGCCCCAATCCAGAACGCAGGACTGGGCGAATGGAGCAAGGACCGAATTTCAGTCTGTCCCCTTGTCTCCAGCCACGCGCCCCGATGCAGTGCACAATCTTCGTGATGGCCCCGGGGAGTTGGGGAGCGACTTCCCGGTCTGCCAGAGGAAAAGAGTGGAGATTTTCTCTAACTTAGGGAGCCCAGACTACTGGGAGGACGAGAAGGAAGGAACGGAGGAACCCCTCCACCCTGTCCATCCTGTTGGTGTCCTGAGTCCAGGAGCGCGGGGCTCCGCCCTCCCGGCACTCAACACCTGGCGCTGGGGCGTGCCTCAGTTTACCGGAGGCGGGGCCTTCCTCCCCCCCCACACCCCTCCCCTTTTCCCTCTTCCTCTTCGGGGCGCCGGCAGCCGCGCCTCGAGCCCTGCCGGAACTGAAGCTGGGCTCGGGGCGGCTGGGAGGCGGGGGCCACGTCAGCGGGGCGGCGGGGGCGGTGGAGAGTAGGTCGCGGCAGGCGCCATGCGGCGGGGCGCACTCCTGGCGGGCTCCCTGGCCGCGTACGCGGTCTACCTGGTGCTGGGCGCGCTGCTGGTGGCACGGCTGGAGCGGCCTCACGAAGCTCGCCTCAGGGCCGAGCTGGAGACGCTGCGCGAGGAGCTGCTGCGGCGCAGCCCGTGCGTGGCCGCCCCGGCCCTGGACGCCTTCGTGGAGCGGGTGCTGGCAGCCGGACGTCTGGGGCGCGCCGCGCTCGTCAACGCTTCGGGGCCCGCCAACGCCTCGGACCCCGCCTGGGACTTTGCCTCGGCGCTCTTCTTTGCCAGCACGCTGGTCACCACCGTGGGTACGTGAGCGCCTCCCCACCTGGGGACCCGGGCGTCATCGCGAAGTACTCTTATCCGGGCAGATCGCTCCCAGTCCGCTCTGGGACTAGGATCCCCCAGGAAAATCCCCAACGAGGATCTAGCACGTACACCGGCGAGAACCCCCCCTTTGGTGAACCATCGAATCTCTTCCTCCCAGCAGGAATCCCCTAACACGGTTCCTTTTTGGACTAGGGCTGCCCTCAGAGTACCTTCCAGGGAGCATTTGGGACCCCATTCCTCTGCCTGAACCCCCTGGACCCATGCCCGTCCAGTCTCCTCTGGGCCTAGGATTACATTAAGAGACCTCCAGCAAAAGCCTAGGACCCTGCTTCGGGGGACCCTCACCCCCTCTGGACCCGGACCTCAGACACGCAGGGACCTCTGTTCTTGTCTCTGGGCTCAGACTGCCATTCTGTCCACAATGTCTCCTGAGTCTCCAGATATGTCCCTCGGGGATGCTCCTTGGGAAGTCCTACCCGCAGCCTCTTCCTGGTCCTGGTGCCCCACTGAGGACCGTGAATGTCTACATCCTCTCAGGGCACCGTTGCTAAAGACCGCACTGCCAGTGCAGAACCCTCAACAAGGACCTGGGCCCTGATGGGTGACTTCCACCCCCCTGGACCTAGACCACTCCCCAGCAAGGGCACCCTGCCCTCCTCCAGACCAAGGACCACCCCTCAGCCTCATATTACCCAGCAGGTAGCCCTGACTGTAGATACAGGACCCCTCCGTCTTGACATCTCCCCTGTATTGGGAGCCTTCAAGGCAGGGGTTTCCTCCCAACAGGACAATCCCATTCCCTCTGAACCTGGGGCTTCCAGGTCAGCAGCTCCCAAGGGTGGATGTGTGAGAGGGACCCGCCGTGGAGGCAGCTAGAGCGCCCTCCAGAAAGGACCTCTGACTTTCCCACCAGAAGCCTCTCAGCCAGGACTTCCACCTCTGCAGTCCCAGAACCAGCTCCAGCAAAACTTCTAGCACTTTCCAAACTAGGGACATCTCCATGGGAGCCTCTTTGAACCCAAGAACCCCTAGATGAGACTCTCGCCACTCTCTGGACCCTGGAACACTTCAGTAAGAGCCCTGGAACCACCTGGACTTTCTATCAGGAGGGACCCTGGCGCCTCCCACACACACTGTCATCGAGAGCAGAATCCCGCTTCACACCCCCCACCCCCCGGGATGCCAGCTGAGAGACCCTGTTCTCTGCACCCACTACCCCTGTCCCGGGACCCCCTGCCCACCCTGGACTTCCTAAGAAAGGGAATCTGCTGGGGACCTGACCCCCCTCTAGTCTTCTCCAGACCCACAAGTGGGACCTCCATCTCCACCCCAACACTGCTCCCCTTGGCTTTGGACTGGAAACTCTCCCCTCTGTCAAGGACACTCCAGGCCCTCAGCACCCTGGAACCCTTCTCAGTATCCACCCGTGACCTCTTTCCACCCTTCACACTCTCAGCCAGGACCTGGGACACCCGCCCCCTCCCATCATCCCTGTAGCATTGTCTGCTCCCATCACATCCCCTCAAGCTTCCATAGGCTCAGAAGCACCCTTGCCTGAGGATTCCCCTCCCAGTCCTATTTCATAATTGGCAAGATCCCACCAGCAGTGCCTGTCCCCTCCTTCCTTGGGACTCAGGATCCCAGCCCTGAGCCAGGACCCATTCTGAACCAGGACGCTGGCCTCTGATTTCAGGTTACTGACTCCCCTTTCTCTGAACACCCCTTTCCACCAAGTGGAACTGACCTCCCCCCCAGCCCTATTCTAAAAGTCCTTTCCTGCTTCAGAGCCCAGACCTGGGAAATTCCTTTGTCATCAGGTTCTGCTGCTCCGCCCACTGCCCTTCCCCAGCCCCCAAACTTCCCCTTCACCTCTACTGGGGATTTGGACTGGAGGAGGAAGCTGGGACAGGCCCAGACTCTTAACTTGGCCTCCTCCCAGAAGTAGCAGGTGGTTACCTGCTTTGAGCTCTGTGGTGTGGACCAGCAAACCAAGACCACAGGCAGCAGGGCTGGGTGCTTCTCCCAGACTCTGTTCTACCCAGCTGGCCGGGCCTGCCCGACCTGCTCCTAGGCTCCACGGGGTCCCTTCAGCGTCTCCCTATGCCTCCTCCCAGATCCTGGCTTCTGAGAAGTCATCCCCACCAGGACAGGTGCAGAAGCCAAACTCAAGGCAGGCACAGCCTGGGTTTGCCTTTCTGTGCAGCTGATGCTCTTCTGGGCCTCGGGGGTTGTCGCTCATCTCTAAAATGGAGATCGTAACAGTCCCCGCATGAGGACCTATAGAGGACTTAGCGCGGACGGCCTAAGTTAGCACATGGCCTTGAGAGGCAGGTACCATTCGTGGCGCTGTTTTCTCATGGAAATACACTGAAGCCCAGAGAGATTGGACAGTTTGCCCAAGACCGCACAGGGTAGGGATGTACAATGTGGAGAGTTGAACTGACGCCATGAGGGCTCAGAGTCCCGTGCTTTTAACCAACACACCACATAGGGCTTCCTCGGCTTGCACGGAGAAGGGTGATACGCGTGTGTAGTGTGGAAGGAAAGGTTATTTTCACATTTGTTAAAAATGGTAGGTTTTTGCCATAGGGGAGAGAGACTGACCTCAGCTCCAAACATAGTGAAGGCAGCTGGAGATTTAGAGCTGAGGGCGGCCTCAGGGGTTCAGTGGTTGGAAAAATGACTGAGTGGTGACGCGGAGGGGAGGAGGGATTCTTCCCAAAGTGGCTTAGGATTGCAGCTAAAACTCAGCCTGAGTCAAGACGAGAGCACAGAGGAACCTGACTGACCGTTTGGTCAAGGAGAGAGTCCTCGTCCGCGGGAAGTGCTGGTAATAACAGGTTTACTGAGCCTGCGTTGTCATCATTGTCGGTGAACCCGGAGCCCTGAATGTATCGAGAGAAGCAGAAAACCAGACATGATTCAGAGAGCGTCCTGGTTGTGTCATAGGCCCGTGTCTTCTGAGGAAGACCTGGGCCTGGACTCCGCCGAGGCAGCCGCAGCCGGGCCAGTGTCTGTAGTTGAGGCCTTGGTGGAGGCATCAGCCCCCCGGAACTGGGAACCAGGAGAGGGGAAGTGAGCATTACAGTCACGCTAACTCTTCCCATGCCCTTGCTCAGTGCTGCGCCCTGTCCCAACCAGGGAGGGTTACTGCACTTGTCCTTGAAGATGGGGGCTGTTCATGAGCCCATTTGGCGGTACTGGGGGCCAACTGGGGCTCAGAGAGGAGAAGGCATGTGACCAAGGTCAGGCAGGGAATATGTGGCAAAGCCCTGATTGGCACTCAGCTATTAGAGGAGGTCGGTGAAGGCTCACAGCTTCTGTTCTATGTGAACTCTATGGTTTTTCTGTTTATAAGGTTGTGTCATTTGCAAACCTGTCATTTCAGCTGGGCTGCTGGAGTTTCTCCATCCAAATCCTTGTGCTTAATGAGGGTTGGAGCCATAACTGATAAATCTCACAGAACAGTTGCTTATATAGATGAAAGTTATTTCGTGCTCACATTCAAGGTTATCAGTTCAAGACCAGAATGGTACTGCATGGTCAGAAACCCTTGTGGTCCTCTCTGCAATTTCCATTCACAAGGTCACCTCATGGTCCAATATGGCTGCTCAAGTCCAGCCTTCATGTTTGTGTTCCAGCCAGCAGGAGGAGGAAGGAAAGAAAGGGGATAGACATCCTCCTCTTTTTTTTTTTTTTTTTTTTAAAGATTGCATTTATTTGAAAAAGAAAAAACAAGTGGAGGAGGAAGGTCAGAGGGAGAGAGAGAAGCAGAACCCCGCTGAGCAGGGAGCCAGAAGTGGACTTGACACTGGACTGGAGTTTTGGAGGGCGCCTGGGTGGCTCAGTCAGCTGGGCTTCTGCCTTTAGCTCAGATCATGATCTCAAGGTCCTAGGATTGAGCCCAGTGTCAAGCCAGCTTCTGACTCCCTGCTCAGCTGGGGGGGTGGTCTGTGTATTTTAACACAGCTTTTAAAAACTGGGGTAAAATGAGTCATCTGAGTTTTGCTGGACACCCAGAATAAAGACATCCCCTCCTCCCTTGAAGCTAGGCATGACTTCCGGAATAATTTCTGATCAGTGAGTTATACCTGAGAGAAGCAAGCGACTTCTAGACATTTTTGTCCAGCAAACACCTAAAATTTACCATCTTAACCATTTTTGTGCGTACAGTTCAGCAGTAGTAAGCACATCCAGACTGTTACACAACCATCACCTCCGTCCATCTCCAGAACTCTTTTCATCTTCCACAACTGAAACTACAGGGGGGCCTGGCCAGCTTATTCGGTGAAGCATGCTACTCTTTCTCTCGGGCTTGAGAGTTCAGGCTCCACATTGGGCACAGACCTTCCTAAATAAAGAGAACACGGGCATCTGGGTGGTTCCGTCGATTAAGCATCAGATTCTGGATTTGGCTCAGGTCTGATGTCAGGGTCATGAGATCGAGCCCTATGTCCGGCTCTGCCCTGAGTGTAGAGTCTGCTTGGGATTCTCTCTCTCCCTCTGCCCCTCCTGGCCCAGGTCACGTGCATACTCTCTCTCTTTAAAAAGGAGAGAAAGAGGGGTGCCTGGGTGGCTCAGTGGGTTAAAGCCTCTGCCTTACGCTCAGGTCATGATCTCGGGGTCCTGGGATCAAGCCCCGCATCTGGCTCTCTGCTCGGCGGGGAGCCTGCTTCCCCCTCTCTCTCTGCCTGCCTCTCTGCCTACTTGTGATCTCTCTCTGTCAAATAAATAAATGAAATCTAAAAAAAAAGTAAATGAAAAAGAGAGAAAGAAAGACACCTGAAACTATACCCATCAAACAGTATCTCCCCATTCTCCGCGTTCCGCAGCCCCTGATAACCACCATTCTACTTTCTACTTTCCGTTTCTATTTCTATGAACTACTTAAAGTACCTCAGATCAGTGCAAACATAGTGTTTGTCTTTTTGTGACTAGCTCGGTTCACTGCGCATAATGCCCTCAGGGTTCATCCTGCTGTAGCATGCCTCAGAATTTGCTTTTTCCGGCTAAATAATACCCCATTATATGTATATCCCACCTTTTGTTTACCAGTCATCTGTTGGTGGACCCTTGGTGCCCTCGTGTTTTGGCTGTTGTGGTCTCTCTTTAGGCCTGGCTTCCGGTTCTTTTGAGAAAGGACAGGTGAATGCCCGCTTGTGTGTGCGGGTTCCGCATTTTCTTATTGATCACAGGGTGAACCCATGGTCATTTTGGCATCAGATTTTTTTTTAAAGATGTTGTTTTATCTATTTATCAGAGAGAGAGATTGAGAAAGAGAGAGAGAGCACATACACAAGCAGAGGGAGCCGCAGGCAGAGGGAGAAGCAAGCTCTCTCCTCACCAAGGAGCCTGATGTGGGGCTTGATCCCAGGACCCTGGGATCATGACCTGAGCTGAAGGCAGCCGCTTAACTGACTGAGCCACTCAGGAGTCCCTTGTCATAACATTTTACTGTCAACATAAACCAGGGCCCTTACCACCCCCAGTCGTATCTCTGACCCTTTGATTTTATTTATTTGTGGAAAAAAAAAAAAGAGAGATTTTAAATTACACATGGCCGAAGTAGGCCAGTGTCCCCCATACCCGAACTCCCTTTTACCCTCTTTCTGTTTGCAGCGCCCACAACCACACCAACCTTCCCTGCGTTCCTACAGCCCTCCGGGAACCCAGTGAGGCTCATCACACCCATTTTAGAGAAAGGGACATGGAGGTTCTGAGCTAAGCGTAGAGCCTACACCCTTCATTCATTATTCTGACTATAGATCGAGGGCCTGCTCTGGGTCAGATGCCGGGGCTTTGGCAGTGAGTGAACCAAACAGGCAGGAGCCTCTCCTGTCCTGCAGCTGCACTCTAGTCATGAGAGGGATGCCAACCAAATAAGTAAACCACATGGTTTACCAGAAGGTTGAAGCACTATGAAAACAAACCAAAAAAAAAAAAAAAAAAAAAGACTTTGGTCAGAGGGTGTAACAATTTAATAACGGAGTAAGGAAAGTCCCTACTGAAAAACTGACATTTGGGCAAAGACCTAAAAGGAGGAATGGAGGGTACCAGCCCTGAGGGGAAAGCTTTCCATGGGGAAGAAGAATGGTTGTGCACTGTGCAAAGGCCCTGAGGTGGGAGTGTGCCATGGGGGCCTTGTGGGTCGTGATGAGGACTTTGTCCTTCACTTGAATGGAATGGAGCCACAGACGGGCTCTAAGTGTGGGAGGATCATGACCTTACTCAGGTGTTCATAGGGTCCCTCTGGACCCTATGTATGAGGTGGGGGGTGGAAATGGGGGGTTTGACGGCAGACAGACTCAGGGCAAGGGCAGGAGTGAGGGAGAAGGGAGACCAGGGAGGGAGGAGGCTGCTGCCTTAGATAGGCCCAGGGTTGGGCCGTGGGGCTGGGGTGGGGTGAAGTGACCGGGTTTAGGATTGCATGGAGTTCAAGACAGCAGGATTCCCTGGCAGGTTGAAAGTGGGTGTGAGAGTCAAGGATGACAAGGCTCGCGGCCTGAGCAGTGGAGGGATGGCGGTGCCATCGCTGGAGATGAGAGGCTGTGGGAGGGGCAGGTTTTGGAGTGAAATGAAGTGTCATTTAGGGTGGCCACAGACCCCCCCCCCATAGATGCACCAGGCCGATGGCAGGATTTCCCCTTGCTCCCCCAGGCTACGGGTACACAACGCCGCTGACCGATGCGGGCAAGGCCTTTTCCATTGCTTTCGCGCTCCTGGGCGTGCCGGCCACCATGCTGCTGCTGACGTCCTCAGCCCAGCGCCTGTCGCTGCTGCTGACCCACGCACCCCTCTCCTGGCTGACCACGCGCTGGGGCTGGGGCCTCCGGCGGGCAGCCCGCTGGCACCTGGTGGCGCTGCTGGGTGTAGCCGTGACCGTCTGCTTCCTGGTGCCGGCCGCCGTCTTTGCCCACCTGGAGGAGGCCTGGAGCTTCCTGGATGCCTTCTACTTCTGCTTCATCTCCCTGTCCACCATTGGCCTGGGTGACTATGTGCCCGGAGAGGCCCCCAGCCAGCCCTACCGGGCCCTCTACAAGGTGCTGGTCACAGGTGAGCGTATCGACTGGCCGGGGCTGGGTGGGGCTGGGGTGGGGGACACAGGCTTGCCCTGGAGGGTCTCCAGGGTAGGGGGGGCCCTGCCCTGCGGGTCTGAGCCTGCCCATTACCCCTCCACCCTCTCCGCAGTCTACCTCTTCCTGGGCCTGGTCGTCATGATGCTTCTGCTGCAGAGTTTCCGTCACGTGTCGGACCTTCATGGCCTCACGGATCTCATCCTGCTGCCCAGTCCGTGTCCTGCCAGCTTCGGCGAGTCTGAGGATGATCATGTGGGCATTGTAGACCCCCAGCCAGAACCGCACCAGCAGCTCGCTGCCGACACCCACCCTGACTACGCCTCCATCCCCAGGTAGCCGGGGCGGGTGCCCTGAGGCTGGTGGGACCCGGCCCGTGGCTGAGGGGCCCCCGTGACTGGAGCGGCTCTATTGGACCATCCTTGAGCACAGGCCTGTGTTCGCAGGGTTCATGAGGCATTGCCACCAGCTGTCCGTCCTTTGTTGTACCTGTCCCAGGCTCCACGGGCGCCGCCATGGCCCTGTTTTAGGATCCCCCTCCCTGCCCCTTCTCTTACTCCCCTAACTCTGGGCTCTCTGGCTTTCCTTCTCACTCTCTCTGTGTCTCATTCTATCACTGACTCCATCTGCCTCTCCCTCAGCCACTCTTCACTGGCCCATTCTAGCAGTTTCTAGGCTCAGACCTCATGTCTGGCACCCGATGGGTCACTATACTTTGGGCAAGTGGCTGCCCCTGTCTGGGCTTTGATCTCCTCATCTGTCAAATGGAAAGAATATATTCATTCATCTAGAACTCCCTCTGGGCAGGCTCTAGGCTGGGCAGCGTGAGGGACCCAGGAGCATTAAGGTGGCCCTGGGCCCGGCTCTCCAGGGTTCCCAGTCCAGTGAGGAAGACAGATCTGTCCCCACATAGCAGCCACCCAGTATAGGCAGGACTTCAAGGAGGAGGCAGAGAGGTCAGCAGTGTGTTCCAGAAAGCATAGGTGGAGGGGGCGGGGTTGAGGGGGAGGAAGCACAGAGACTGGGCCCAGTCCAGCCTGCAAGGTCGGGGAGGGCTTCTGGAAGAAGGGATAAGGACTCAGGGGAAGGTGGTGGACCCGACTTGTTTTTCTCAAGTGACGCTAGGGAGCAAGATCTGTGTGGAGGAGCCCGGGCATAGGCCTGTGGGACAGAACCCTCCTTGGCCACCCAACCGGCTGGAAGCTGAGACAGGACCCAGCCTGGATCCGGACGGCGCAGACAGCCCTGCTCTGAGCTGAGACCCCTGCTCCAGCTGTCCCCACCCTCCCGAGGCTAACTGTATAAGGTACACTGGCCTCTGGAGCCAGTCTGCTTGGGCTCAGATCCCAGCTCGGCTGCGTCCTGCCTCTGTCCTCGGGCAGTCACTTCACCTCTGTGATTCTGAGTTATGTCATCTGTAAAATGGCCACAAGAACAGTAATTACTTCCAAGATGATGTCACAGAGCCGGCCCCGGTATTCTGTGCTTTCTTTGGCCAGGCCCTGCTCCGGGTACTTTCCATACGAGGAAGGTAACATCCTCACCTTTTTCGGCAGATGAGGAAACTGAGGCACAAGATCTCAGACACAGAACTAGGAGGTGACAGGTTTTCTGTGTACTGGTACGCAGCTGGTACGTCAGAGCACTTGCTGCCATGGGCCCATCTACTGAACCATTCCTCTGCCAAACCCGGTGGAAGTTACGGAAGGGATGGGGCATTTGAGCCGGACCTTGATAACATTCAGGAAGAAAGGGCATGGGAGGCACTCCAGGCAGCGGGAACTGTGTGTGTTTGGAGGTAGGAAAGCCTGTCAATGTCAGCTTCAGGCAAGTGGTTTACTGTCACCGGAATATGGCGGGGGGGGGGAGGAGGGAGGAGCGGTGGACATGGGTGGATCTTAAGTGTCCTTAAATGACCAGTTTGGGAACCTGGCCTCTTTCTTGAAGGCACTAGAGAGCCATGGAAGGTTTTTGAGCAGGAGAGGGCTGTGGTCGGGTTTGGGCTTTAGCTGCTGTGTGGAGGTGGACCAGAGGGGGAGACTGAGCTGGGTGCACAGGGGAGGTTGGCCCTGTTGGAACAGAGCAGGGGTACGATGGCGTGGGCAGGGCCGAGGGAAGGGAAAAGGGGCCGTGGAGGGGTCATGCGCAGGAGGCCAAGTGGGCAGGCCCTATGTAGGCCTTACAGTCTTGGGCAAGACAAGGCTGGAGAAAGGCACAAGGATGGTTGGCTGCCCCTGAGATAGGGACCTGGGAGGAAAAAACACATTTGAAGGGAGACACTGAGGCTTGTTTGGAACATGGTGGGTGTGAAGGGCTAGAGGGGCATCCAGAGGAAGGCATCAGAAGGTCTCAGGGTGTGGTTGAGGCCGGAGACAGATGGGGGAAGTGAAGCCGAGAGGGCAGGTGTGGCAGCCCTGGGTTGGGGGAAGAGAGAACACCAGCCTTGAGAAGTCAGCTTTAGGGTATTTCTGTATCTATATCAGTAAGGAAACACTTGTGATGAGTGCTGGGCGTTATATGGAAATGATGAATCACTAAACTCTACTCCTAAAACTAATATTACACTAGATGTTAACTGACTAGAATTTAAATAAAAATTTAAATAAAAACTTGAAACATTATAAAAAACTAAGGAAAGATTTGGTCTCCAAGTAACAAGATCCTGACTGGCACTGGCTAAAATAATGAGATGATTGTATATTGCCCATCACCAGAGTTGGGGAGAGCTCTGGGCAACCATACAATCCATAGCTCCAGGAGGATCTGTGGCCTGAGGTTACCAATCTCTTTTTTCTGCCACCTTCAGCTGAAGGCTTGGCTCCACATGGGCTCTCCTCATGGCCCTAGAGTGACTGCCACAGGTCCAGATATCACAACCAGACGTGATCATTTTTAGTGCAGGAAGAGAGGGGCATCTCTTGCCATATTGTCTCTTTGGAAGCAAGGAAACCTTTCCCCTAAAGCCTCCCTGCAGAGACTGCCTCCTCTCATTGGCCCAAATTGGCTTACATGCCCATCCTGAACTAATCCTTGGCCATTGTGATGGAGCCACCACAATTAACTTGGATTCCTCAGGATTCCCCCTGCCACCTGGAATTGAGGCTGAGCCTGAGATTTTGGTCTGGAAGCTGGTGATTGGACTTCTGTTAGAAAGGCAGGAGGCGGGAGAATGGGCAGACATTGATTAACTAAGCAGTCGGGGTCATCATGTACAGTTGTGCAAGTTGGGAACTACATAGGGGATGTGTGGCTGGCAGGGTAGAAACAAACAAGGGCTGAAGTTCAAGGCTGAAAATGACCCAAAGGGACTCCTCACTGCTTCTCCTTCCAGATTCCTCTAGAAAAAGAAATCAGGCCCCGTTTATTCAAGACATGGGGGGTGGGTAAAATTTCAGGCTAAAAACTCGAAAGGTACAAGAGTGTGCAGTGGAAAGTCAGTCTTTCTCTAGCATTCAGGCTGTGTTCACTGATTTTGCAGGTTTTTCGGGTAAATATCAGCAATATGTATGTGCCTATGTGTGTCATTTCTTTTTCCTTCACTCTGCTCGAGTGAAGGAGTGAAGGAAAGGTGGTTAAAACCACAGACTGTAGAGGCAAAGTCCCTGGGTATAAGTCTGAACTCTCTCATTCCCAAGCTCTGTGGCTTTGGGCAAGTGATTTCACCTCCCTGTGCCTGAGTTTCCTAATCTGTAAAACGCGTTGATAACAGCACCTACCTCATGGACTTGTTTGAGAATTTAGCAACTTAATATCTGTAAAACTCTTAGACCAATGTCTGGTACTCAATAAATTGTTGACTAATGATTATTATCCTCTTTGCTGCACCTGACTTTTTTTCCTTTTTTTTAAAATTTTTTTTAATGTAAAACATATAAATATACAACTTTTTTTTTTAAAGATTTTATTTATTTATTTGACAGACAGAGATCACAAGTAGGCAGAGAGGCAGGCAGAGAGAGAGGAGGAAGCAGGTTCCCTGCTGAGCAGAGAGCCCTATGCAGGGCTCCATCCCAGGACCCTGGGATCACGACCTGAGCCGAAGGCAGAGGCTTTAACCCACTGAGTCACCCAGGCGCCCCTATATACAACTTTTTTTAAAAGATTTTTTTTTATTCAGTTGAGTGAGAGCCCAAGAACATGAGCAGGGGGGAGGATCAGAGGGAGAGGGAAAGGCAGACAGGGAGCAGAACGTGGGGCTTGATCCCAGAACCCTGAGATCATGACTTGAGCCAAAGGCAGACGCTTAACCCACTGAGCCACCCAAGTGCCCCACTAAGATTTTTTTTTTTTTTTTTTTAATAAAAGCCTGATGGGGGGATGCCTGCGTGGCTCAGTCGGTTAAGCAACTGCCTCCGGCTCAGGTCATGGTCCTTGGGTCCTAGGATCGAGACCCGCATCGGGCTCCCTGCTCAACTGAGGGCCTGCTTCTCCCTCCGCCTCTACTGCTCCCCCTGCTCCTGCTCGCACACCCTCTCTCTCAAATAAATCTTTAATTAATTAATTAAAAGCTTGATGAGGGGCAGAGGACGAGTGAGGGCTGCCAGAACAATCGGTAGAAACTACTTGAAGACCTTCCCATCACAAACTCTCATCCCCGGCGCCCTTAGCCCTCCAGGCCCGTGGCGCCAGGGTGTTGATGTCGCTTTCGCCGCTCTGCCAAGTCACAGGCGCTGCTAAGCCACGAGCGCTGCTTGGGAAGCGCGTTACCGTGGAGACAGGCGCAAGAGGCGGGCAGGTCCCGGCAAAGGCGGAAATCGGTTGCGGAAGTTTGGGCGGCCATTTTGAAACCGGGCAGGAGGGGCGGGCCGCGACGGTTGACCGGTTTCAACTAAGCGACTGGTACCGCGGGGCGGGGGAGAAGAGGGAGGTGCCTGGGTCTACCCCAGGGAGGGATGCGGGGGGGCGGGGGGCGGAGAGAAGGGGAGGGAGGAGAGGGAGGCGAGAAGGGGAGAGGCAAGAGAAGGGGAGGGGAGTGGAAGGACCGAGCAAAGGAGGGGAGGGGCGGAGAAAGAGCGGGGCCACGCGCAGGGAGAGGCTAAGAGAAGCGAGGAGATGAGTAGGGGCGGGGCTACAGGAGTCGGTACGTGGAGCCGGTAGGGGTCCGAGGTATGGAAAAGGGTCGTGAAAGGGGAGAGTGGGGCCAAAAGGTGTCGCGGTCCGGGGGAAAGGTGAGGATCGAGAAGGCGCTGACCGACAAGATAGCGCCCGCGTGGAACGAGAAAAAGGTGCAGGGCGAGGAGAAGGCGCGGGGCGAGGGGAAAGCCAGTGGCGAGGAGAGATCCCGAGGCAAAGTGAGGTTATCTAAGGAGAATGGGCGTGGTTCCACGAGGGGGCGAGGTGAGGGGCAGGCTCGAGATGAACAGCTCTCCAAAGACCCGGGGAATGGGCGGATGGACAAGGGGCGGGTGGAAGAACAGGGACCGAGCCCGGAACGGGGGCGGGGCAAGGAAGGGAAGCCGACGGAGGAGCTTGCTCCAGGCGAGAAACAGGGGCGGGGACAGGGAAAGGGGCGGGGCGTGGAGAAAATCTGGGCTTCGGAACCCGAGAAGGGGGAGGTTAGATACAGGACCCGGTACCAGGGCAGGGCCCGGGCCAGGAGAAAGGGGAGATGCGAAGAGAAGTTGGGGGACGGGACAAGAAGTGGGGGCGGAGCCAGGTGCAGGTGCAAGTGCAAGTGCAAGTGCACGACCAGAGAGAAGAGCAGGCCTGGGGAAAATAGGTGGAGCACAGTCAAAGCCAGAAACAGAATCGGAGACCCGGTGAAGAGTAGGGGCGGGATGCAGAGCAGAGGAGGAGCAAAGAACAAGTATGGGGCAAGGTTAAGGTGTGAGGCGAGGAGGCGGGGCGAAACTAGGAGCAGGGTCGTGTCCAGGAGCAACAGTAGAGGAGGGACCTGGAGTAAAACTAGAGGCGGGATTCAGAATAGGAGCAGGTGCAGCGTCTGGGTCAAGGGCGAAATCTGGAGCAGAAGCGGAACCAGGAGCAAGAGCAGGGCGGGGGCTAGAAGCAAGAGCGGGGGCGGGGCCAGGAGCACGTGCAGGGGCGGGGCCAGGAGCAAGAGCGGGGGCAGAGCCAGCAAGTGCAGGGGCGGGGCCAGGAGCAAGAGCAAGGGCAAGAGCAAGAGCAAAGGTGGAGCCAGAAGTCTGAGTAGAGGTGGGGCCAGGAGCAGGGGTTGGGCGACGCGCCGAAACTTGGTAGGCTATCTGAAGGTGGCTCCCGGGCGCAGTCTGGCTGGCAGGTGTTGACCCCCTCTCCAGGTTCGAGTCACGTTGCACGCTGCCCCGCGATGTACCCTGTTGGCCCTGCGTGGCCGAGATTCCGAATTCTGCGGGCGCTGTGGGCACTACTGGCGGTACTATTGGCATCGTGGAGGCTGTGGGCGTTCCAGGATATCCAGGAGTGCACCTGGCAGGTTGTCCTGAACAAGTTCGAGACAGTAGGCAAGAATGGCATGAGCGACCGTTTCTTCCATCAACAGCCCGTGGCGACACTGGACAGTGTGTTCAGCCCGCTGGTGGATGCACCCACCGACCAGGGCGAGGTGAGGGGACCGGGGTCAGGTGAACGGGAGAGGTCATAGATCTGCACCCCACTGGGCTCTGGACATTTGCCCAACCTTTTCTTGCAGAAATACCTGAGCTTCCCATACTACCTGAAGATCAACTACTCCTGCAATGGAGAGGTGAGTGCAGCAGGAGTGAGCTCATTCTGTGTGGCCCTCAGTTTCCCCAGTCGCTCACATTTTAATAGCGGTGACACCACCAGATCTTGGGGACCCTAAGGATACAAGAAGATTCCCAGTATCTCACCAGTCACATAGTAGGTGCTCAAGCAAGCTTTTTTCTTTCTTTCTTTCTTTCTTTCTTTCTTTCTTTCTTTTTTTTGCCATTAAAAATTGAGATGGGGTGCCTGGGTGGTGCAGTGGGTTGATCATCATACTCTTGGTTTTGCATTGGAACGTGAGTCCCACCTCTGCTCCACTCTCAGGGCAGAGTCAGCTTGGGGATCTCCCTCCCTCTCCCTCTATCCCTCCCCTCTCCCGCCTCTGTCTCACTCTCTTTTCTCTCTAAAATAAATAGATAGATCTTTTTAAAAGATTGAGATGTAACTCACATATCATAAAATTCACCATTTAAAGTATACAGTTTGATACTTTTTAGTATATTAACAAAGTTGTGCACTCAATTACCACTAATCACAGACCGCATTCATCACCCTCAAAAGAAACCCAGTACCCCCATCCTTCAGCCTCTGGAGACCACTGATCTACTTTCTGTTCCTATGAATTTACTTATTCTGGACATTTCATTATAAATGGAGTTTGTTGTCCAATAGGCAGCCTTTTGTGTCTGCTTTCTTTCGCTTGGCACATTTTCAAGGCTCGCCTATGCCGTAGCATGTATCAGTGTTTCCGTTTTACTGGCTGATTTATATTTAATTGTAAGGATGTGCTACATTTTGTTTAGCCATGCACCAATTGATGGACATTTGGGTCATTTCCACTTTGTTGGCTATTATGAAAAATGTTACAAATGTGTGTACAGGTTTTTCTGTGGACACGTGTTTTCACTTCTCTTAGGGAAATGCCTACAAATGGAATTGCTGGGTCTAACGTTAACTCTGTCGCACTTCTGAGGAACTTCCTGATTGCTCTCCAGAGCAGCTGCACCATTTCCCATGCCCATCAGCCATGTCTGAGGGAGGGTCCCCTTTCTCTGTATCTTCACCAACGATTGTTCATCTCCTGATGATGGCTGAAAGGTGTGGGTTCGAGGTGGTATCTATCTCATTGTGGTTTTGAGTTACATTTCCCTCATGACTCCTGATGCTGACCATGTGCTCACGGGTAACTTATCTATCTTCTTGGAGAGATATCTACTCAACTCCTTTGCCAAATTGGGTTGTCTCTTTATTGTTGCCCTGTTAAGCTTTCCTTATAGCAGATGGATGATTTGTAAATATTTTGTCACATTCTGTGGGTTCTTTTTTTAAAGGTTTTATTTATTTATTTATTTGACAGACAGAGATCACAAGTAGGCAGAGAGGCAGGCAGAGAGAGAGAGGGGAAAGCAGGCTCTCAGCTGAGCAGAGAGCCTGATGCAGGGATTGATCCCAGGACCCTGGGATCATGACCTGAGCTGAAGGTAGAGGCTTAACCCACTGGGCCACCCAGGTGCCCCTCTGGGTATAATTGTCTTCCATTGCTCTATATGTCTGCCTATATGACAGTATAACATAATCTTGATTCCTATGGGTTTGCAGTAAGTTTTCCAATCAGGAAGTTTGAGTTCTCCAACTTTGTTGTTCTTTTCCAAGATTGTTTTGGCTCAGGTGAGCTTTTGGAGGACAGTAGAGTGTTGTGGTCTAGAACTGAAGATCTGGAGGCAGCCAACCTGGGTTTGAATCTGCCATTGACCGACATTTACTTGGAGGAAGTTGGCATGATAGTTGATACTTCGGGCTCTGAAGCTAGGCTGCCTGGGTTCAAATCCCAGCTATGCTACATAGTAACTGTGTGCTCTCTGGAAAATTTCTTAAGGCTTCTCTATCAAAGTTTTCTCATCCTTAACAAGGATTCAATAGTAATCATACCCACTTCCCAAAATGATTAAATATGTGCGAAGCACATAGCACAGTGTCTGGTCATAGGAAGAGCTCAGTGAATGGTAGCAAGAAGTTTACAGAGTGTGACCCCAGGCAGAGACTTTTACCCCATGAACCTTCTCTTCTTATCCGTAAAAGTGTGATAATAATACCTCTATCTGGCCATTCAACACCTATAATGAGTCAGATCTTTTTTTTTTTTTTTTTAAACACAACGTGGGTGATATAATAATTAACAGCATGGCTTGGTTTTTCTTATGGATTCAGGCCATCAGGGATGCAATCAGCAAGTAAACACATAAAGTAATTTCTGAAGAGTAATCAGTGCAAAGAAGAAAATAAAATGTGATATGTTAGAAAAGAAGGTGTTATGGGATGGTTGGGGAAGGTCTCTGAAGAGGCTTGAGCAGAGACCTGAGTGATGAAAAGGGACAGTGGAGGAGACTGGGAGGAAACACCCCAGGCCAGGGGAGAGGCTAGCACGAGGAGCGAGGAGCACGATGGTGCTGAGGTAGGACAGGGGGTGCTGTGTCCGAGGAGCCCTGAGGGAGGGCACAGTGGGAGGGGACAGGGCAGGGAGGTGACCCCAGGCAGAGTGAGGACACGGTCCCTGTTCTGAGTGAGATGGAGGCATGAGGAGGTTCTGAGCAAAGGCCTGCCTAATCTGACTCAGGTGTTCCCGAGCTTCCTCCTGCTGGGCGGGGGGCAGGGTGTGGGGGCAGGGTGGGGACAGGGAGACAGTGAGGAGGCTGGCCGGTGCTCTAGGCAGGAGTTGAGAGTGACCAGGACCAGGGCCACTGTTGCTCCAGTGGGAGAGGCCCTGCTGCCCTGTGGTTGAAAAACCCAAGGGGCGCCTGGGGGCTCTGTTGGTTAAGCATCTGACTCTTGGTCTCAGCTCAGGACTTGATCTCAGGGTTTTGAATTCAAGCCCCATGTTGGGCTCCATGCTGGGCATGGAGCCTACTTTAAAAAAAAAAAAAAAGAAAGAAAGAAAGAAAGACCCAGAAGTAAGGCTGGGACAGGTGCAGTTGGCTGAGCTGATGAAAGCCTGTGCAAAGGTGGTTGGACCCATTATTTTTTAAAAAGATTTTATTTGAGACACGCGTGTGCACGCACGTGCGTACACACACACACACACACACACACACACACGAGTCAAAGGTGGGGAGAGACAGAGGGAGAGGGAGACTCCCTGCTGAGCAGGGAGCCTGATGTGGAGCTCTGTAGCAGGACCCTGACCTCAGGATCATGACCTGAGCTGAAGGCAGAGGCTCGACTGACTGAGTCACCCAGGCCCTGCCGTTGAACCCATTAAATCTCTCTCCCTGGTCCCACAGCTCATTCCCCCCCCAAGAAGGCTGCTTGAGTACAGCCTTCTCGTGAAGATGCCTCTAAGCCTTTGCTTATGCTGTTCCATACACCTGGTACACCCTTCTCCTTCCCTCCTTCTCCACTGTAAGCCCAGCCTTCCTTTCTCCCCCCACCAGCCAGGACCCTGGAATTTCTGGGAGGCTGTCCCTGGCTATCTCTTCCCACTCCTTCCCTGTTGCTTTCTGTGTAATTGTCCTATCCCACTGTCACCCACAGGCTCCAGGTCCAAAACCTGGCTATCCTCTGACGGGATGGGGGTGGCAGACAGTCAGATTTCTGCAGGGAGGGTAGAAGCTTCAAGAGTGGGACTGGGGACCCAGAAGTGAGGAACAGGCTACCAGCAGCTCTGAGTGCCATGTTCATTCCTACCTGCCCATGTTTGCTTTTCCCTTAGCTGCCATTCCCTGTGCATTCCCTCTGTCCAAATTCTGTCTGAAGACAGTGGCTCTGGCCTTACCCCCTCCTGGGACTCGCTTCACAGCCCCTAGCCCTTCTGCCTGTCTCCTCGCCTGGCCTGTCCCCACCCCAGCCCCAAGCCTAGACCATGTTCTCTCACCTAGTCTGAGAAGATAGGCTGCAAAGATGGGCTCAAGGCAGGGGTACCCAGAGCCTCTCTTAAATAAACACCTGTGGGGCCATCTTGCCTTCAGTCCTCCGAGGCCCAGGTCCGCAAGGGCCACCTGACGGGGCTGAAGCCCGTGGTGCTGGTGACCTTCCAGTCCCCAGTCAATTTCCATCACTGGAAGATAGAACACCTGCAGATCCAGATGGAGGCAGCTCCCTTCCGCAGCAAAGGTGGGCCTGGGGGGGGCACCTGGAGGGGCCACAGCCTGGCCAGGGTGTGGGGAGTTTGCTGGGGGCCTCCGTAGGGTCCATGACCTAGAGGGGGAGGCTGACATCCTCAGAGGAGCCCGTGGCCTGGTGGGGGTTGTGGGAGTTTGGGTGGGGGCAGTGGGGCCTATGACCTGGAAGGGGCTACAGGGAGGCCTCAGCAGGGTCCATAGCCTAGAGAGGGGTCCTAGAGGGAGGAGGTATGGGGAGGTGCAGGGAGATCCCCGTGGCCTGTGGCCTAGAGGCGTCCTCGGGGGGCCTCAGCAGCCTCAGCGTCCACTGCCCCCCCCCCCCCCGCAGAGCAGTGCACCGCAGAGCAGGTGTGTGTCATGAGCTGGTACACGCCCATGCCCATCAAGAACGGCAGCGTGCTCATGCGCGTGGACGTCAGCAGCAACGGCCTGGGGCCCTTCATTCCCACGAAAAGGTGCCTTTTCCCAAGTCCGGGCAGGGGGGAAGACTCTGGGAGGGACTTCCTAATCTCCAGATCCCCCAAGAAGCCAGGAGGAGAGCAAAAGGAGGGAATGGGGTGGGGAGATGATTGGGAGCTATGGCAGGAGCCTCGGAAACCGGAACCCTCGCTCTGCTCGTCCGCACCTGCTGCCAGGTTTCAGGTGAACATCAACGGCTTCCTGCAGAGACAGCAGGACAACACCCTCCACTTCACTGTGGGAAATGAGGTGAGGGGCCTAGACAGCAGAGAAACATGGTAGAAAATGTGGGTAAAAACCAGGGGGCTGGGGCCCCAGTTACTTCCCAGACAAGTGGCAGACCCCATCCCTCATTACTCTTTGTGCCAGGCCCCAGGGTAAGCGCTAAACTAGGTGTGCAGCCACGTTCCGTCTTCACAGTGACCCTGTGTAGGAAGGCGCTCTCACAAACCCATTTTCAGGAGGGGAAAACAGAGGCCCCTAAGGGGCGGAGCCATTTGCCCCCAGTTTCTCAGCACTCACACAAAGTATGCCTGTGCACGGTGCATTCAGCAGGCACTTAACCGAGCACACAGTGTGGCACCATGGGAACACGCCAGGGAGCCCACGGACACAGTGCCAACATTCTAGTGGCAGAGACAGACACCGCACAATAAACATGAAATCAAGTAAATTCCAGAGTAGGTGAAGGGGGGTAAGTGCTCTGGAGAGACTCCAGGATGAAGGGGGTTGGGTCTGTGCAGGAAAGGATTGCAAAGTTAATGGGGTGGTCAGGAAAGGCATAATGAGAAGGTGGACGTTTGAGTAAAGTCTAGGAGGAGGAGAGGAGGGAAGCATGTGGATACTAGGGAAGAGCATTTCATACACAGGGAACAGCCAGAGCAAAGCCTCAGAGGTGAGAGGGTGCCCAGTGAGTCTGGGAAGCAGGGAGGAGGTCCACGTGGCTGGGCGAGGGTGAGCCAGGGGGAGAGCGATGGCGGGTGGGGTCAGAGAGGTGACAGGGACAAATCGAATGTGGCCTCGTGGGTCAGGTGAGGACTTTGGTTTTTTACCCCGAATGAGATGGTGCCATGGGAGGGAAGGGGAGTGTTGAGCAGCACCCCCTCCATCCCCACTTGCCCCCACCGCCAGATCTTCGATCTCATACCCCGGTACTTCATGAACGTCCCGTCGAGGCCCCTGTGGTACACTGTGGACCAGGCACCGGTGCTCATCCTGGGGGGCATCCCTGAAGAGAAGTCCGTCCTGCTGACTGACACCAGCTTCAAGGACTCCTTTCTTGTGGAGGTGAGTGGGGCACAGCCGGCAGTGGGCGACCCAGGGCTTCCTGGAGGGGGCTGCGCCTCAGCCTCTAAAATAAGGCGGTACCTGGCTCTGTGGAAAGACTCTCTAAAGACATAGCAGCTCCCACGAGAGGCAGATAGCGGGAAGGGAAGACGTAACACCGCAGCCAGACGCCGTGGCTTCAGATCCAGGTTCAGCCTCCACCTGGCCCTGTGACCCTGGACCAAGTCATTTCTCCTACCCGGGCCTCAGAGTCCCCATCTGTCCCATCAGGAAAATACAAATAATCTTTATATTCACCTCATAGAATCCTCGTGAGCTGGGTATAAGTTAACATCAGTCAGGCACAGAATGAGCACTTTACGAAAGCAACACCACAAGGCCATCGTGATACCCAGCTAAATTAGATAGAACCCATTCATATCATCTAACATGGCCAGTGTCAGTTTTCCCCAATTATCTAAAAATGTCTTAAATTTTTTGTGGGGGGGGAGCACCTGGGTGGCTCAGTCATTAAGCCTCTGCCTTCAGCTCCAGTCATGATCCCAGGATCCTGGGATCGAGCCCCGCATCCTGCTCCTTGCTCGGCGGGGAGCCTGCTTCGCCCTCTTCCCTGCTTGTTATCTCTCTTTCTTTCTTTCAAAGACATAAATGAAATCTTATAAAATTTGTAAAAAATTAAAAGAAAATTTTTTATTGGAATGTAGTTGACCACGATGTGACATTGGTATCAGAGGTACAATATAGTGACTCAGCAAGCTTGTATGTTGTGCTGAGCTCGCCACAAGGCTCCCATCTGCCCCATACGACGCTGTTGCAGTATCACGGGCTGTGTTCCCTGAGCTGTACCTTTCATTCCCTTGGCTCATTCATTCCTTAACTGGAAGCCTGGATCTCCCACTCCCCTTCGCCCACCTCCAACCCCTCGCCTCTGGCAACCATCCGTTCATTCTCTGTATTTATGAGTCTGATTCTGCTTTTTGTTTGTTTGTTTATTCACTTTTTTTGGTTTTGTTTTGTTTTAGATTCCACATATAAGTGAAATCATATGGTATTTGTCTTTTTCTAACTTATTTCACTTAGCATAACACCCTCTAGGTCCATCCATGTTGTTGCAAATGCCAAGATCTCATTTTTTGTGGCTCAGTAAAATTCCATTGTGTGTGTAAACCGCATCTTCCTTATCCATTCATCGATGGATACTTGGGTTGCTTCCATATCTTGGCTATTGTGAATAATGCTACAGTAAACGTAGGGGTGCGTATATCTTTTCAAATTAGTGTTTTCATATTCTTTGGGGAAATACCGGGTAGTGAAATGACTGGATCATATGGTAATTCTACTTTTAACTTTTTATGTATTTTTTAAATTTATTTTATATTTGACAGGCAGAGATCACCAGTAGGCAGAGAGGCAGGCAGAGAGAGAGGAAGGGAAGCAGGCTCCCTGCTGAGCAGAGATCCTGATGCAGGGCTTGATCCCAGGACCCTGAGACCATAACCTCAGATGAAGGCAGAGGCTTAACCCACTGAGCCACCCAGGTGCCCCTAATTTTTTTAATAAAGATTTTATTTATTTATTTGACAGAGTTCACAAGTAGGCAGAGAGACAGGTGGGGGTTGCGGGCGGGGGGGGGGGGAGCAGCCTTCCTGCTGAGCAGAGAGCCCAATGCGGGGCTTGATTCCGGGACCCTGAGATCATGACCTGAGCCGAAGGCAGAGGCTTAATTAACCCACTGAGTCACCCAGGCGCCCCTCTACTTTTAATTTTTGGAGGAACTTCCATACTGTTTTCCATACTGGCTGCACCGGTGTGTATTCCCCACCACGAGTGCACGAGGGTTCCTTTTTATTTTTTTTTTATTTTTTTAATTTTTAAGTAATCTCTATACCCAACATGGGGCTCGAACTCACAACCCCAAGGTCAAGAGTCGCATGCTCTACTGACTGAGCCAGCCAGGCGCCCCAGAGGGTTCTTTTTCCCCCACATCCTCCCCAACACTTGTTGGTTCCTGTGTTGCTGACATTAGGATTCTGACGGGTGTGAGGTGGTATCTCCTTGTGGTTTTGATTTGCATTTTCCTGATGAAGAGTGATGTGGAGCCTCTGTTCATGGGTCTGAGAGCCAGCCACTGTGGATCTTCTGCAAAATGTCTTTTAAAGTTGGTTTGAATCAAGAGTGACACGTTGCATTTGGTTAAGTCTCTTCATACTCTCCTCACCTGTAAGTCTGCCCCCTGCGCCATGTCCTTTGCCTCATCTACCGCCTTTTCTCAGGCACGTGGAGAAACCAGGCCTTTTGTCCTATAGAGCTGAGCCGCTTGCTTCTTCATGGAACCGCTTAACTTGTTCCTCGGACCCTACGTGGTAGTCAGCTCGGGCTGCTGTAACCAAATACCACAGACTGTGTGTCTGAAACAAAAATGTATAGTCTCACAGTTCTGGACAAGTCCAAGATCGAGGTGTCAGGAGGGTCGGTTCATGGGGAGCCTCTCCTCAGCTTGCAAGCACCTTCTCACCGTGTGCTCACCGGCAGGGAGACGGAGATCGCTGGGGTCTCTTTCTCCTCTCATAAGGACACCAGTCCCATGGGATCAGGGCCCCTCTTTATGACCTCAGTGGACCTTAATTATCTCCTTAGTGGCAGGGTTAGGGATTCAACATATGAATTGGGGGGGGGACACAGTTCCGGGGATAACACCCCATAGAGTTATTGCCTTTATAAACTGGTACTGAGCTCTAGAAGCTTGCTTCCATCTAGATTCTTTTAGTCAAGAGTCCTCCCTTGATGGTGCTTTCCCACGGTTAGTCTGTGACATCGCCTGTGTTAGCGATTGGTCTGTGGGTTCAGATAGTGGCAGCCTGACAGCCAGTTGTGTCCCAGGTAATATAGGGTGGCTGGGCCAAGCACGAGATCTTTGGGATCTGCCTGTGGTCTGGGGGAACTGAGATTGCTATGCACCGTTGAGTATGTTACACACTGCCAAACTCAAGGGAGCACGCCTAGTCCCAGTTGCCTCTGGCTTGGGTCATCTGCATCCCAGGCCCATGCTGGGGAAGTGTGGCCACAAGGTCCTACTTCATGGTGCATGGGGAGGGTGCCCTGGGGGTGCCTGTGTCCATCCTGAGCAGGTGCCTCCCCGCTAGGCTGGACGTGGGGGCTGAAGCCGAGGTGAAGCCGCATCTCACTGACTCTGCTCCCCTGCAGTTGAACATTGACAGTTGCTGGGTAGGCTCCTTCTACTGCCCTCAGGCCATTTTTACGGCTACCATCTATGACGCCATTGCCACCGAAAGCACTCTCTTCATCCGGCAGAACCAGCTGGTCTACTATTTTACAGGCACCTACCTTACCCTCCATGAAAGCAACCACGGCAGTGGTGAGGGGCCCTGGCATCTCGGGGAAGGGGTCCTGTCTGGAGGAGCCCAGGGAGGGCACCCCAGTGAACCCACCCACTGGCTTTTCCATGGGTGGGGAGGGGGGGTGTTGGAGGGACTTTCCAAGGTCCTTGATCATCACTACCTACCCTGCATGGCCTTCCCCTACCCTCTGTATGTGGGGGGAAGGCTTTCCTCTAGACCTATGAATCAGCAGATGGGAGAGGGAGGTGTGAGAGGGAATGGAGGGAGCACAGAGAGAGAGAGACAGACAGGCATGTGTGCACGCACACACACACACACACACTCACACAGTATCAGAAAGACAGAGGAAGACATACATAGCAAAGGAGAAATTTGGAGGGTGGGACAGAGGCATGGAGAGTCAGAGAGAAAGGCAGACAGAGAGAAAGTGGGGTGAGCAGTTGGAGACGAAAAGCCACGAAGGAGACTGATCTCGGAGGAAAAAGAAAATTTTGATTCAAGCTTATCTTTTAAATGATACCCAAATCCTCCTGGTCCTCAGCTTCCCACCCCCTCCGCTATATAAATGAGAGATATCATTTTATAGGGTCCCAGAAACTTGTATTATAACCTACATTTCATTAGGGGTTATTCCCAACAGCTTCGTTTTTGTCCCTTTCTTACTTAGGACATTTGCCAGTAGGAGGAACCAACTAAAAATGGACTTAAATCAAAGAAAGGGGTGTTTATGGGCTTAGATAGATGAAAAACCTAGGAGCATTCGGTTTCAGGTACAATTGGATCTAGGGGCTCACTGGAGCTTAGACAGGTCCCTCTGGGCTTTTATCCTCTCAGGGGCCCAGGGAAAAGCATCTCTTCATTAGCAGGTGTAAACTTGGGACTGTCTCAGATTGGTCCAGCTTGGTCACATGCCTAGTTGAACCCGCTGCTCTGGCCAGGGGAATACAAGGTGGGGTTAGCCCAATCTGTAGCTCACGGACGGAGTATGAGCAAGGGAGATTTTCCCAAAGGCAGCTGGGCCCTATGGCGGGGGGCCCCTCAGACCCCACACTGAATAGCCATCAAGGCCATGGAAATGTGGATGGGGGTCAGGTCCCAGGTCTATAGACCCAGGTCTGAGGTTCTATGCTGGCCCCCACAGGGAGCTGGGTTCGTGTCCTGGCCAACGAGTGCATCAAGAGCCTGTGCCCAGTGCATTTCCATAGCAATGGCTCAGAGTACATCATGGCCCTCACCTCTGGCAAGCGGGAAGGCTATGTTCACTTTGGGACCATCACAGGTAAGGACGGGGGCCTCTGGCAGTCCAAGAGACCCCTCCATACCCGTGTGCCTCTGAGAATTCCAACTGCTGGCCCTCATGCCTCACCAGGTGCCTTCAGGGGGGGCCCCAGGCTGGGGGTTGTTCCTGTGAGCGGGGACAGGTTTATGCATTTTATAGGAGTAGGACTCCAGTGTGTTGTATATCTTTCATGATATGCTTGGTTTCAAAGGGAAGAAGCCTAATTCAAAAAGTCATTTAGGCATATTTGTGGATTTGATAAATGAGAAGACCGGAGTCCCACTTCAGGCATGGCTGGATCCAGGGGCCCACAGGGTATATCATTAGGACTCTGTCTATCTCTTGGCAAGGTAGTGTAGTATAGTGATTATAGTAGAGAGAGATTGCTTGAACACACCCAATCCAGGTCACCTGTGGCTTTGGACAGGTGACTTAACCTCTCTTTTTGGTCTCATTTTCCTCATTTGCAAAATGGGGTTAATGATAATACTAGTAGCTGACTCTTTGGCTTGATATAAAGATTAAGTAAGTTGGGCTAGGTAAAGGTCTTAGGACAGTGCTAGGGACACAGTGGATGCTCTAAAAAGGTTTATTATTATGAGCCCTGAGGTTTGGCTTCATTTGCAGGTAGATACTCCTCTGGGGGTTGAAGATGGTCCAGAAAGTTGGGGGGCTCACATCTTCCACCAGTTCAAGTCACCCCAAAGGGATGAAAGCAGCCTCTCCCATTAGCTCTAGCATGAACCCAGGGTACACTCTGATGGGCCCATTCTGGGTCAGTGCCCAGACCTAAGCCAATTACTGTGACCAGAGATGGACCCACGATGGTAGGCCAGGTGTGAGTGACTATCAGGTCGGGGGTGAGACTTGCCCCCTGAAGTCCCATGACTCAGGGGGCAGGAGGCACGGGCACCACACCTGGTTGATTGCAGACCTGGCTTGGTGGGATGCCAGGTGGACTGGGAAGGGCCTGAGCGTGGACCTGCTGTGCTCCGCAGATGGCCACGTGTCCTTCCAGGTGCTGCCCAAGCATCGGTCTGTGTGCGAAGGGATACAAGGTACCTAGCTCCCGGAGGGGTCTTTGGCGGGCGGGATCAAGAGCTTGGGAGAGCAGGGAAGGTTGGGAGCGGTCATGGGAAGGAACATTGGTGTCTTGGGAGGCATGGAGAGTCACAGGGATAGGTGTGACAGTTACAAGAGACCCTGGAGAGGGGTGGATCCAGGGATGCTCTGGACCTCACCCTTCCTGTCCAGTTTTCAACTGCTCCATAACCTGGGCTGTATTCATTGCTGGTGACTACATTCTCCTGATGCTGGTGGAGATCCAAGACCCCACCACCAGAAGTTATTTCCAGGTGGTCAGCTATGACTTGGGTAATTGGGATGCTGGGGGGGTGGCGCTGAGTGGGAAGGGGCAGGAGCCTAGATTATGAACTTTGTGCCTGTCTGGTGGGATCTGTACTAGGCAGACAGGGGGAGGGAAATATTGTTCACATCACTCCTGGGTAAGAGGTAGTGGTGGAGAATGGGCTTGGTGGGGTGGAGAAACAGAAGAAAAAATATGCCTGGAACAGAGGGGGAATGGGGAGGGAGGGAGATGGGAGAGGTGAGCAGAAGCCAAATCTGGAAGGGCCTTGTGGCTCACAATAAGGATATTGTATTGTATTTTATTTTACCTGAAGAGAATAGGGCTGCCCTGTACAGTTGTATAGGCTGTGGACTGTACTCTACAGCCAAGAAGTCAGAGGAGGCAAGTCTTATGCCCTAACATATTCACATAAAGAAACCCTAAGGGCCAACAGGCCCAAATGAGAAGCCACTGGAGGGAAAATTTTTTTGGAGGGCTTGGGAAGGTGGTAACTTGCCCAGTTTCAGATTTTGAAAGCTCAGAGCCTCAGAAGATTTTACTGTGTTCTCTCCTGCTATAGTCAGTGATAACCTGGTGATCCTCTACACCATCCCGGAGTTCATCCCTGATGGTAGGAAGGGAAGGCAGAGGGGGCCTCAGAGGTGGATGAGGGCCAGGAGGGGCCCAGAGGACCATGCCCTCACTGCTGTGTCCACTCTTCCTCTGTCCTGGCCAGCTCGAGGCCTGGAGTTTCTGATGATCCTAGGAACAGAGTCTTACACCAACTTCACGATGGTACCCAAGGGCATGTTCTACAACCCGTATAACAACCTGCTATTCATCTGGGGCAACTTCCTCCTGCAGAGGTATGGCGCGGGGCCTATGCTACCTCTCCTGGGCCCATCAGGGTGGGGACCCTTTCTGAAGTCATCAGATTTGCAGAGCTTGCACATTTCCAGAAGTTATGAGAATTGTGATGAGAAAACACGGGCCACGGTGATCAGGGGTAGGATGGGGAAACTGAGATTTTAAAGCTCTGGGAGAACTTTTTTTTTTTAAGTGATTTTTTTTTTAAATGTATTTATTTATTTGACAGAGACACAGCGAGAGAAGAAACACAAGCAGGGGGAGTGGGAGAGGGAGAAGCAAGCTTCCCACTGAGCAGGGAGCCCGGTGCGGGGCTTGATCCCAGGACCCTGGGATCATGACCCAAGCTGAAGGCAGATGCTTAATGACTGAGCCACCCAGGAGTCTCTGGGAGGCCTTTCTTAAATGAAACCCAGTGTAAGAATCCAACCTATGCAAAGGGCATTTTCGGGGGGAGAGGTCAGGACACTCTGCACCCCTCAGGAACTTAGGGGCCCCTGGGACTGCTTCATGGACTGTTGGCAAAGTGCTGCATTGGCCACATGCTCCTGTCTGGAGGTGACAGGTCACCCAGGCTTCCTGGTATGTTCTTACCAGGCTAGCAGAGAGCTGAGTAAATGGGTCTTGGGTCCCATTAGGCCCAGAGCTGGGGGAAGCAGATACTCTGCAGGAACCTTGCCTGGGTGTCCCTCGCTCCCATCTCTGCCCTTGCAGCTACAACAATGAAGACTTCATCTACCTGGCGGATTTCCCCAAGGATCAGTCCATTAAGTACCTGGTCAACTCGTTCCATGGAGAAACAGCTATTGTCACAGAGACGGAGGAGGTGGGCTGCCCTGCTCCTCTCCCCAAACCCCAGGGGTCTCCCCTTCTCCCCCTGTCAGGGTAAAGGGGTTCAGAGAAGGAAACACCCTCAGGGATTCCAGAGAAGGGCAGCGGAAGCTCCATCTATAGCTGAGAACCCTGCAACTCAAAGAGAAAGTCATTTCCCCCCGTAGTCTTTCACCAGAGTGAAAGACTCAGTCATGACCTGATTTCCAGAGCACGTGGTTCACTTCATAACACTAAGCACTTACTGTATACTTGACCCAGCGCTGGGGGTACAGTGGTGACTGAGTCAGCCCTGGACCTTGTCCTCACAGGGTCCCAGTCCTACAACAGTTCAGAGTAGCAGGAGCTGCAGGGAGGAAGACAGTACCTAGGGAACTTCAGAAACGGGGTGCTGCTGAATTTCTAGTTCAGTGTGTGTGTGTGTGTGTGTGTGTGTGTGTATGTAAGTGTGGCGTCAGGAAGGGCTTCATAGAGGAGGCCACATGGAGGAGGGGTTTCGAGAAATCCTCCAGGCTGAGCCTCAGAAGGGGCTAAAGTCTAGAGTCAAATGTGTGGTGGGGTGGGCATCAGTGCAGAGACAGGAAACTGAGGCCAAGGGGAGGGTGAGAACTCCAGAGAGTGCAGAGTGAGAAGAAGACAGGGCTCCCCCCTGGGAACCGTGGAGGGGTGTACCTATTAGGGATGCTTTAGTTTCAAGTAATAACCACTCAAGCTGACTGGAACACAGAAAACATTTATCGTGGCGAGCTGGGGCTGGAAGCAGAGGTGGTCGGGCTCTGGGGAGGAGAGATGGCGTCATAGAGAGAAGGTGTGTGAGCTCACCTGGCACTGGTTGGGAGTGAGCTCTCCAGCCTCACCCTCAAGGAATGGGGCCATCACACTGGGTAAAGGGAGATGTGGGTCAGAGGTCCCCGTGGCGCACGAGCACACACACACAGACATCTGGCTGTCGCACCCCCAGATCTGGTACCTCCTGGAGGGCAGCTACCGGATGTACAGGCTATTCCCATCCAAAGCCTGGGAGGTGCATGTCAGCCTACAGGTGATGCAACAGTCCTCTTTCTACACCCGCATTGAGACCATGGTCACCCTCTTCTACGAAGACCACCAACTGTACCAGGTGCCTGTGGAGGGGGGTAGGGTTGGGAGGGTCACAGGGAGGCTGCCTGAGCGCAGCTTACCTGGGCCTGCCCCCCCCCCGCCCCCGCAGCTGGTGTATCTCATGAATGGTGGGCAGGGCCGGCTTGTCAAGAGGCTTGTGCCGGTGGAGCAGCTCCTGATGTACCAGCAGCCGGGCAATCACTACCTCTTGGAGCGACGGGGGTGAGATCCCGGGCCTGGGCCGCAGTGGTAGTCAGGGGGCCTAGATGCTGCCCACATGAACCACCTGTTCCTGGAGGGAGATCGAGTCATCCCCAAGGACAACCTCAGGGCTGTGGTGGGGCAGCTTAGGGCCCCTAAAAGCTCAGAGGAGGGGCCAGATGGAGACGGGAAGGTGGGTGCAATCAGGGAGAGCTTCAAAGAGGAAGAGGTGCAGGAGCCTCTGTGGGCTGAAGGGGGAGGAGGGATTAGCCAGGTAAAAAGATGAACCGTTCTGGCCAGGGGGAGCCACATGTGCAAAGGCCTTGAGAAGGAAAGGAGATTGGGTGTTCAAGACTGAGAGAAGGGTACAGCGCAGACAGAGTGCCGCGCTGGAGGCAGGGTGGACAAGGGGAGCCTGGTGATGGTAGGGAGGAACTTGGACTTCATCCTGAGGGTGCTGGGGAGCCACGATGGGACTAAGAGAAGGGATTCCATGGCCAGATGTTACTGTGTTCAATAATGATCCTTCTGGTCACCTGCGGAAGCGCCTGGGGGTGGGGGGCAGCTGGGAGAGGGAGCAGGGAGAAAGGGGAGGTGGGAGAAGGCCTAAGAAGTTGGTTTGGGGGGTGGGTGTCTAGGATGAGGTCCAGAACTCCGGTCTGAGGGACCCAGGGACGTTCAGGAGAAATTGTCCAGGGGCACCAGGGGCTGAGGCTGAGGAGGAAGGTCAGGGATGCACTAGATTTGGAGAGTCAGCAGCGCAGAGGTGGGAGGAAGACCTGGCGGGTGGGGGTAGGTCCGCGGTGCGCCAGGCGCGGAAGAGTCAGCCTCCGTGTCCACCCCCCCCACCCCCGCAACTTCGCCGGCCCAGGAACCACCTGACGCTGTCCTTCACCGACTTCTGTCCCTTCACCGTGATGCACTTGCGCGACCTGCCCGACCCGCAGATCTACACTCGCCAGGAGCGCTACCGGGCACACCCGCCCCGCGTGCTGGAGCCCTCGGGCTTCCACGACCAGAACTCGCTCGCTGTCTACCAGGGCCTCGTCTACTACCTGCTTTTTCTGCACTCCAAGTACCACAAGGTGGGAGCTTGGCGGGGGCCGGGTCTGATCTGGGACTGAGGAGGCCTAGAAAGCAAGGCCCAAGTACCTCAAGACCCCCCGTAGAGGGTGGAACTGAGCCGAGCCGCCTGGGAGAGTGTGAAGCTAAAGGGGGGGGGGGAGCGGACATTTGGAGAGATGGCTTTGGGAGGGTGGCTGTTGAGCTGAAAGTAGGGCTCGGGGACGGGCCAGGGTCTGGTAGCTTTGGCTTTGGGTTAGGGGCTGGGCACGCCACCTCCCTGGGGCCAACTCCGCACCCCCCAGCTCACGGTGCGGGCAATCCCCACAGCCTTACGCGGACCCGGTGCACGACTCCACCTGGCGCTGGTGGAAGAACAAGAAAGTGGACCAGGTGCGTGGAGAGGGGTGGGGGTCCGGGAAGCTTCAGCGTCAGGACACCCCTCCGGGTCCCCGCTTCGGCTCTGACTGCCCCGCATCCCATCCGCCAGGATTACTACTTCTATCTGGCTAGCAACTTGCAGAGCACGAGTAACGTGTACATTGACATGGCCAGCTACGAAAAGATCTACGACCTCAAGGCCGAGCACGAGCTGCCCGAGCGCATCTACCTGGACAAGGGCACCAGCTACGGCTTCTCCATCTTCGTGACGGTCCGCGGACACTCGTTAGAGTTCCAGCCGGAGCGCGGTCTGTGGGCGACGCTGGAGCAGAGTCCCGGGGGCTGGGCGGGGGCTGCGGCCTGGGGATAGTCTGCGACGCCAGGGGGCGGAGTCTGGGGGCGGGGCAGCGTCCCGGGCGCGAGGCCCTAACCTCTCCCTGTGCTTGTAGTGCTCACCACCTTAGAGCTGCGCAGCAAAGTGGATCTGGGCGTGGTGCTGGCCGATGCGGACTGCATCGAGGTGGTGGTAAACCAGAAGGTCCTCATTAATCGCAACTCGGTGCTTTTCTGGGTGAGATAAAGCGGAGAGGGGGTGTCGAGGTGGGGGCGGAGCTCCCGGGGCTGGGCACCGTTAGAACTGTCCCTGGGGTCCTCACGCAGGTTTGTTGACGCCTTCATTTCTGCCTCCAACCCCAGGTTACGATCCATGATAAAAGGTCTTGCTTTGATCAGGGCCTTAGTGGACATCACCTCATGAAGACCTCCGTGTTGGTCAAGGTTCAGTCCAAGCCTGGAGGGGAGGGGACGCGGGAGGAGGGGAAAGACTGAACCCACGGGGCCCACCACCATCACCTGCTTCGACCCACAGGTGGTGGGCGCGGTCGGGCACTGCTTCCAGAACACACATCGGGGACTCCACATGCAAGTATTGGACCTCGGGGTATCGGGACCAGTAGTGGGAGGGAGGGGATTGGATTGAGTCTCATCGGAGCTGGTTCTAAGTGCTCCCCCTGGAAATCTCACTAGTGCCTTCCTAATTCCTTTTCGCTCATTCACCCACCGACCCACCCATTCACTCCTTTTATCCATTCATGTTTGCAGAAAAGGCTGCCTTTGTGGTTGCATACATTGCACTCAGGCTTGTATGTTTCTTCTAATATTTTTCTGCATGGGAGTAAAGCATCTGCGACACAGGCCTTTTTGTTCCCAGCCGGCCCAAAGGAAGTCACGTGGGCCAGCTGGGCCCTTCTTTCACATGTTGCTCTTCATTTGCCCTCACACGTGCTTTGTTCACTCCAGTGGGTCCTTCATTCTTCGCTTGCTTACCCATGCAATACCCCTTTTGCACAGAGGAAGACACTGAAGCTCAGAGAGGTGCAGAAATCTGTTCAGAGTAACCCAAGGAGCTAATAAGTGGTAAAGGAGGGACCTGACCCAGGTGCCTTGTTCTCACCCCCTTCCTTGGCCACTCATTTGCAGACAGACCCTGCTGTCCTCCCTCCTGGCTTGGTATGACCCAGGACAGTAAAAGAAAAAAAAGGGGGGTTGTAATAGCCCTCAAAGCCTTGTGGGGAGGAGGAGAGTGGGAAGGAGTGTCTGACTCAGCATCCAATAAGTATTTCCTGCTGGCCTTGGTGATAGGCAGTATTTTCCTCTTTATGATAGCCCCAGAAGGTCAAAGTTAATATCCTTATTTTTGACCCAAAGAGTCTAATCTGCAACACCCTGTTACAGCAAAAGGTTGGGAACAACCTCAATATGGGTAATAAGGGAGTGGTTAAACACATTTCGGTCCATCCGTGCAATGGAAGACTATGCAGTTGTAAAAAAGGGGAAAAAAGATCTCCACATACAGATGTGGAATAGTCTCCAAAGTGTATTTTATTTTGTTTTTAAGATTTATTTATTTAAGAGAGAGAGCCAAGTGAGCGCATGATTAGGGGGCAGGGGGGCAGAGAGAGAAACTCAAGCAGACTCCACACTGAGCGTGGAGCCTGATGCAGGACTTAATCCCATGCCCCCGAGATGAGACTTGAGCTGAAACCGAGAGTCAGGTGCTTAACTGACTGCACTGCTCAGACACCACCAAAGCATATTTTATCCTAAAGAGAAGAAAACTGGGTACAGAAGAGTATGTATAGGGGCGCCTGGATGGCTCAGTGGGTTAAAGCCTCTGCCTTCAGTTCAGGTCATGGTCCCAGGGTCCTGGGATCGAGCCCCGCATTGGGCTCTCTGCTCTGAAGGGAGCCTGTTTCCTCCCCTCTCTTTCTGCCTGCCTCTCTGCCTACTTGTGATCTCTCTCTCTGTCAAATAAATAAATAAAATCTTAAAAAAAAGTGTGTATAAAACATTAGCAGGAAGGAGACTGAGAACATACATTCATGTTGGATTTCATTTGCATGAAGAAACTGGGAAAATAAGTAAGAAAGTCCTTATGGTAGATTGCTGCCCTGAGATGGAGGAGAGGCAGGACATTCGGGGAATGGGAATGGAAGGGAAACTTGTCACCGTGTGTGTCTGTGTGTGTGTGTGTGTGTGTGTGTGCGCGCCCACATGCGCACGCCCAGAGGAAAGTGGAGAGAGATGAGATGAAGTAAGGGGGCAGATCACATGAAGCCTAGTGGGCCACGCTGCCCCAGGAGCTGAGGAGGGACTCAGGCTTTCCCAGGCTGCATGCAGGGGACAGACTGGGGGGAGGGGCTGGAACAGGAAGACCAGGGAGGACAAGGTTGGGCAAGACAAGGGGCGGGGTGGGGGAGCACAAAAAGATTGAGGAGGTTAGGGAGAGAATGGCTCTGTTTTGAAGTCTAGAGACAACAGGATGTCAAGATGTACTGGATGTGGGTGAGAGAGAGAGAGAGGTTTCTAGGATGAGGCTTTTAGCCTGGACGTGGAGGGATGAGGGTGCCATGAACCAAGATGAGTTGTAGATAGACAATCTGAGATGCCCTTTGGACCTCCCAGTGAGTGAGCGGCTGACAGGTGTAAAGTCTTAGGCCCAGGCCTAGCACAGGGAGTGCTTAATCTATGGCCACCAACCCCTGTCCACATTCACCGCTGGGGCCATGCCACAGTCTCTGGATGTCCGTGTCCCTTTGACAAATGAAACTTTTGGACCCTGCCCCTGAAGTGGGCAAGAGGCTGTTCATTTTGAAGACGGTGTCATGGGAATTCCCTAACCTCTGACCCCCATCCCAGCTTCACTTTCCTTCTATAACCCAGGCTCCTCCCCAATCTATTATTTGAGAATTCAGGCCCAACCTGAGCCCTGTGCAGTCCGATACCAGTAGGTGTTAGTGATGTGTCTTTTCCCAGAGGCAGCTGGAGCCAACCTCTCAGCTCCAATTCCAGCTCTATCCACTTCAGGTGTGGCTTTAGATAATTAACAGATGAGGCGGGCGCCTAGGTGGCTCAGTGGGTTAAAGCCTCTGCCTTTGGCTCAGGTCATAATTCCAGGGTCCTGGGATGGAGCCCCGCATCTGGCTCTTTGCTCCCCTGGGAGTCTACTTCCCCCTCTTTCTCTCTGCCTGCCTCTCTGCCCATTTGTGATCTCTGTCAAATAAATAAATAAAATCTTTAAAAAATAGATAATTAACAGATGGCTTGACCTCCCTGTACTTTACTCTTGCCATCTGTCATGGAGATGTGAATAGTCTCTACCATACAAGGCTTAGTTTGTTTTTTTTTTTTTTTTTTGAGGGTTAAATTTGAGTTTGAAGCACTTAGAACATCACCCAGTGCCTTGCACACAGTAGGAACGACATAAATATTTTGCAGTTTTAGAGTATTGTTTTAATGCTAATAATTATACAGCAGCTGGCCGGGTGAGTCTGGCCGGAAGTGGCGGGGTGTGTGGGAGGAGGCATGTCTGCCCCCGCCCCGACCCCCAGTGCAAGGCTTTTCTCCTCTCACTTAGGGCAACTTGATGATTCCATTGCTCATTGGCTGTCCCCCAGGCAAGCGCCTGGCTTTCGACATCACCTACACGGTGGAGTACAACCGCCTGCAGAACAAACACTACTTTGACTGCGTGCACGTTGACCCCGAGATGCCCTGCTTCCTCTTCCGTGATAGTGCGTGTCCAGCCCCTTGCCCCATTCGTTCGAGGTCCTCTGTCCCCACAACTGCCCCTGCCTTCCCTCACTGCCCACTCAATTCCTCACTTACCCTCTGCTCCTCCCCCTTGGTCTTCTCATCTCTCCTTCCTCTCCTCTCCATCCTCCACTTCTGGGGCCAAGCTTATTCTTCTCCTGGCCTCCCTCCAACCCCACAGCCTTCTACCCTTTCTTCTTGATCCAAGACTTGGTGACAGGAGATTCGGGCAGTTTTCAGGGCAGGTAAAGACGTGGCCAAGCCAGGGACTGATGGAAGTTGGGGGTGGGGATGGGAGTGGGTGGTAGAGGTGGTGCCGGACTCTGGACTCTGAAGCCAGTCCACGTGCACCTCTGCACCTGGCAGCTACGTGTTCAAGGTGGTAGGCGGTGGGCCCACGATGGACACTGTCATTGAATACAGCGAGGAGGAGATTTACCGCTTCAACAGCCCCTTGGACAAGTAATGTTTGTGGGACCCTGCCCACAGTCTGCCCTCTTTCCTCGCAAGGCTTCTCTTGCTTCCCAGCCACAGACCTGACCCTGGCTGCAGGCACCACTCACCTGGCATCTCAAGGCTCCTAGGAGGGCACAAATGCTTGCCCCGCCCTCCTAAGTCTCCCCCTGCCCCTTCCCTCCTCTGCTCATACTGCTGGCCTCTCTCTACACCTGCAGCAGTGGGACCCCCAACCCCGCCCCTGTCCCCCACCCCACTGAGATTACATGGTCCTGTACAGAACTAACAGCCTCATCTGGACCACCAAGAACACAACGACCACGAAGGATTTGGCCTTCAACATCATGACCCACCAGAGTTTGGGCATCGAGTGAGTGCATGGCCTGATGGCTGGTCCCTTTATCCCCCACCTGTCCACATGGTCTGTCTGGGCTGTTGTCCCTTCTCTCTCTGGGAGACCTCTTGATTTTCAAGCCAGACTGACTACCTTCGTGTCCTTCAAATGGGGTGACTCTTTGTCTGCAGGGCTGGTCCCTCTTCCTCTTTCTTCAGGCCTTAGTTCAGATGTCCCTTCATCCAGGGAGACTTTTCTGCCATTCTAAATGGGACATTGGTTCCCATGTCCTCCTGTGCTTTGCCCCTTCTAACCCTCACCTCTCTGCTTGTACCTCCCCCATCCCAACCTGCCCCTCTGGGCTGTCCCTCTCTCTTGTGGGGTCTATCTCCCTTATAGATCCAGGTCCTGATAGACTAAACATAGTATTTGTTGAATGAGACAATGAAGGAATTCATTCATTCATGGTAGGCATTTATTGACATTTGAATGGAGGTCATGATGAATGAATAAAACAATGGAGGAACAAATTAATATACAGAGGCTCGATAACTGTTTTTGATTCAGTGAAAGTAAGAAAATGATACCATGAGCAAATGAAGGAAGTGAATGAATGAATGAATGAACCAACTTGCCCCAAGTCAGTAGTCAACCTAACTTACTGAATAAATGAATAAAGGAAAGCATAAACGAATGGAGATATGACTTTGTACCTAGCAGGTACTCAAGGTATATTTGTGGGATGAAGGAATGAAGGCAGCAAGGAATAAATGAGGAGTTGGGACCTGATAGATACACACTCTGTAATCTAGAGGATTGCATTGTAATGGAGGAATTGACAGATGGCGATGTTAAGGAGGGAGGACATGAATGAGTGAACAGCCCGTCACATGGTAGACATGGAGTCAGCCTTACTAGATGAATGAATGAAGGAGGGAATCAGGGGAAGGGGTAAGATTACATCTTGTTGGTGCTCACCTAGAGTTGGTGGGCTGGAAGGAGGGATCAGAGGTTGGCACGTGCTAGGCAGGATCTGTAGCACGTTGCCTGAACTTGGGTCCCCAGGTGGCTGTGTCTGGAGAACTCCCCCTGCCATGACACCATTCCCCACAGCATCTTCGCCCCCGAGTTCTTCTTTAAGGTGTTGGTGAGCAACAGGTGAGCCAGGCATGTGGCCAAGGTAGAGTTGGGGCTTCCTATGGGTGCCCAACCCCTCCCCCAATGCTGAACCCCATCCCCCCCCCAAGAGGTGTGGACAAGAGCACATACTGTGACCACCAGCTCATCTTCCTGTTGCATATCCATGGCCTCCCACTCAGTGCCAATCGGGCCCTCTTCATCCTCATGGTGAGTGGCTGCCTGGGAGCTGCGCTGTTAGGAGAATTGGGCTCGGGCTGCCTCCACCCCATGTCTGTCATGTGGTGTCTGCAGGTGTCATTCATTGTGTTTATCGGCCTGGTGACCCTCTACATCATCTTTTGCCTCCTGCTGACCCCAATGGTGAAGGCCTGCAACATCCTCCGCTGGAAGATCAACAACATCATCACATCAGAGTCCTACTACACCTATAAGTCCTCTTCTAGAATCTTCAGTGGGACATCTGGGACCAAATCCAGGGCCAGCTCCAGCATCAGCTCCAGCGTCAGCTCCAAAGTGGTGGAGGGGAACCAGGAGGTCCCTGAGGAACCCTCGGAGAAGCAGTATATTACCTGAGCCCCTTGCCTGCCTCAACCCCGACCTGTGCGCTCCCCTCACTTCCTGGACCATATTGGAAATCCAATTATCACCCATCCCAGGCTTTTTTGGTTTTGTTTTGTTTCGATTTTCACTTCTCCTTCAGACCTAAATCCTCATATCAGAACCAGCTGTGGGCCCTTGTAAGGGCTCATGTTCAGTTAGTTTGTACCACACAGCCCTATAGGTCATTAAAATCAAAATCCTTCTGTGCCATCTGGTAAATAGCATCTTCTCTGTGTGTCTGTCAACCCCACCCCTCCCTGGGCTGCCCCCAACCTCCCCACAGTCCAGCAAAGTCTTCCATGACCCAGACCCATCGCTGTGGCCTACAGTACATTCTGATTGTTCGGTGCCGAGGTTTAGTACCAATCATTAAATATTTTGAATTTCAATACCTATCTAGTGTCTAGCTTAAGGAGGCGACTCTGGAGAGGTTAGGATTTTTGTTTTAGTTGTAAGTAGCAAAAATTTCACTTAAATGGCCTACACAGAAATGGTAATTTATGGGCTTTAATATAGGCTTCAGGTATAGTTTGATCCAGAAGTCAATGTCTGTAGGGTTCTGGCTCCATTTCCCTGTAGCTTTTCCTGACCTTCCCTCCTCTTAGTGTAGTCTCTAATCTCAGGCCAGCCCCCTTTACAGTCTGAGGTCCACATATGTTATTGTCCAGAGAAAGAAGGGACTGGAGTCCAACATTCCCAAGCAAGTCCTATCAGTCACTCTGATTGGATGGGGATGGGTCCTGAGCTCACCATTTTACTACTCACACTGCCGGAAGTTAAAGCCAATTGAGCCCACCCCTGGAGCTGAGGACAGTCCTACCCTAATCTCTTGATTATGTGTGAGGAAGGACAGTTCTTGTAAGGAAAATGTGCTGTCAAGAAGGGAAGAGACTGAAAGGCAAAAACAAAACAAAACAAACCCCTGCCCCAACAAAAAGGTCCTGGGCTCTGCCATGCAGACTGAGGGATGAAGCGGTTGTCCTTGAGATGAACACCAGGGAGAAGGAGAAGGTTTTGGGGATAGACTGAGGCCTTCGGGGTCATGGCATTTATGGCAGTTCAGGTCTGAGAGACTTCTGGAGGAGGTCATCCAAGAGGCTGCAGGATGTCAGATCTGGGGCTCAGGAGGAAGGTTGGGGATGGTCAAGCTGCATGGCACCATAGTCCCCAGTAAAGACCCAGCAACAATATTAACTGCTTTGAGGCAAATAAGGAAAATGTGATAATATCCTGTTTTGTCCTATCTTAGTCCGTTCAGGCTGCTATAACAGAATACCATAAACTGGGTGGCTTACAAACAACAAATTTATTTCTCACTGTTCTGGAGGTTGAAAGTCCAAGATCAAGTTGCTGGCAGATTCCATGTTTGGTGAGAGCCTGCGTCCTGATTCATAGATGGCCATAATTTTGGTGTGTCCTCATGTGGTGAAAGAGTTAATGGAGGTCTCTGAAGTCTGTTTTATAAGGGCATTAATTCAATTCTGAGGGTTCCCAAAGGCTCCACCTTCTACTACCATTACATTGGGGGGTTAGATGTCAACATCTGAACTGGGGGGGAGGACAAAAACATTGACATTAGGTCCATGGCAGAGCCCTTTTCTTCAGCAAAATACATTTTCATCTCAAGCACACATGAAACATTCTCCAGGATAGAGGATATGTTAGGTCATAAAATATGTCTTTTTTTTTTAAGATTTTATTTATTTGACACAGAGAGATCACAAACAGAGAGGCAGGCAGAGAGAGAAGGGGAAGCAGGCTCCCTGCTGAACAGAGAGCCTGATGCGGGGTTCGATCCCAGGATCCTGAGATCATGACCCGAGCCAAAGGCAGAGGCTTTAACCCACTGAGCCACAGAGGAGCCCCATAAAACATGTCTTAATAAAATTAAAAATATTGCCTATTAAAAGGCAGAGATTGGCAGATTGAATTTAAAAAATGATCTATCTCTTCTTTATGGAAATAAAAATGATTAGAAGAGCATGTTATGAACAACTGCACACCAACAAATGGAATAACCTAGCTGAAATGAAAAATTTCTAAAAAAATACTAAAAAAATAAATCTTTTAAAAAAATTACAGATTCAATTTCCTTGCCTATTCTAGACATTCTCAGATTTTCTATTTATTCTTGAGTCAGTTTCAGTAAGGTTTTTTTTTTTTTTTAAGATTTTATTTATTTTTCAGCGACAGAGGGAGAGCGAGCGAGCACAGGCAGACAGAGGCAGAGGGAGAAGCAGGCTCCCCGCCGAGCAAGGAGCCCGATGTGGGACTCGATCCCAGGATGCTGGGATCATGACCTGAGCCGAAGGCAGCCGCTTAACCAACTGAGCCACCCAGGCGTCCCAGTTTCAGTAGTTTTTACAAGATGAGAAAACTAAAGGCCAATATTCATCATGAGTATAAATACAAGACTCCTCAACAAAACATTTCCAAACTGAGTTCAGCACTGAATTCTAAGGATTATATCCTGAGACCAATTGGGATCTATCCCTGGAACATAAGGACTTAACATACAAAAAGCAACCAGTGTAATACATCGCATTAATAAAATGAAGGAAATACAACCATGATCATTTCAACTGATGGAGGGAAAAAAAACATTTGACAAAACTCAACACTCTTTCATAATAAAAATACTCAACAAACTAGAGTTAAATAGGGTTAAATAAGGGAAATATATACAAATCCCAAAGCTAACATCATACACAGTAGTGAAAGACTGAATGCCGTCCCCTAAGATCAGGAATGATCATGGACACTCACTTCTACTCAACATACTATTGGAAGTTCTAGCCAGAGAAGTTAATAAAGAAAAAGAAAATAAGGTCACCCAAAATAGAAAGGAAGAACTGAAGTTATCTCTGCAGATGACAGGAAATTTTATGTAGAATACACACAGAGCACATAAGTGAATTCAGCAAACTTGCAAAATGCAAAATCAACACACAAAAACCAATTGTATTTCTATACACTATCAATGAATAATTTGAAAAGGAAATTTGTTTAATTTTTTATTTTTTTATATACATATAATGTATTATTAGCCCCAGGGGTACAGGTCTGTGAATCGCCAGGTTTACACACTTCCCAGCACTCACCATAGTACATACCCTCCCCAATGTCCATAACCCCACCACCCTCTCCCTTCCCAACCCCCACAACCCTCAGTTTGTTTTGTGAGATTAAGAGTCTTTTATGGTTTGTCTCCCTCCCAATCCCATCTTGTTTCATTTATCCTGAAAAGGAAAATTTAAAAAACCCAATTCTATTCACAACATCAAAAAGAATAAAATATGAATAAGTTTTATAGGGGTGCTTGGCTGGCTCAGTCCATAGAGCATGCAACTCTTGATCTCAGGGTTGTGGATTTGAGCCCCATGTTGGCTGTGTAGAGATTACTTAAAATCTTAAAAAAAGGATACGTTTGCACAAAGAGGTGAAAGACTTGTATACTGAAAACTCCAAAACATTGCTGAAAGAAATTAAAGAACATGTAAGCAAATGGAAAGACATCCCATGTTCATGAACTGGAAAACTTAGTATTGTTAAGAAGATAGTACTACCTGAATTCATTCTCTAGGGGTGCCATAACAAAATACCACAGACTGGGTAACTTAAATAAAAGAGATTTGTTTTCCCACAGTTCTAGTGTCTAAAAGTTCAATATCAAATTGTCAGAAGGTTTGGTTTCTGAGGCCTATCTCTTTGGCTTGCCAATGACTGCTCTTTTGCTGTATTCTCACATAGTCTTTCCTCTGTGTGGTCACATCCCTGATGTCTCTCTGTGTGTCCAAATTTCCTCCTCCTCCTCCTCCTCTTCTTCTTCCTCTTCTTTTTTTAAGATTTTTAATTTGTTTATCAGGGAGAGAGAGTGAGAGAGTATGAGCAGGGGTAGGAGGCAGAGGAAGAGGGAGAAGCAGACTCCCCGCTGATCAGGGAGCCCCACATGGGGCTTGATCCTAGCACCCTGAGATCATGACCTGAGCCAAAGGCAGATGCTTAAGTGACTGAGCCACCCAGGCACCCCCAAATTTCCTCTTTGTATAAAGATTCTTGTCAAACTGGATTATGGTCCACTCTAATGGGCCTCACTTTAACTTCAGCACCTCTTTAAAGTCCCTATATCCAAATACAGTCACACTCTGAGGTATTGGGAGGTTATGGCTTTAATATTTACATTTTTAGGGGATTTCAGCTCATAACAAGACGAAAAGTGATATACAGATTCAAAACAATCTCATAATCCCTGTGGCAATTTTGCAATCATAGAGAAACCCATCCTGAAACTGATATGGAATTTCAAAGGACCTAAATAGCCCAAACGGTCTTGAAATAGAACAAAGTTGGAGGACTTATACTTCCTAATTTCGAAGCTGCAAAGCTACAGTAATTAAAACAGTGTGATACTGATATAAAGAGAGACATATAGACCAATAGAATAGAGAGCTCAGAAAATAAGCCTTTACGTATACAGTCAATTGATTTTTGACCGGGATGCTGAAACCACCCAATGGAGAAAGGACATTCCTTTCACCAAATGATACTGGGAAAACTAGATATCCACATGCACAAGAATAAATTTGAACCTTTATACCATACACAAAAATTAACTTAAAATGGATCAGCTTCTTAAATTTAAGATCTAAAACTGGGGCAGCTGGGTGGCTCAGTGGGTTAAAGCGCCTGCCTTCGGCTCAGGTCATGATCTCAGGGTCCTGGGATGGAGCCCCGCATTGGGCTCTCTGCTCAGTGGGGAGCCTGCTTCCTTTTCTCTCTCTCTCTCTGCCTGCCTCTCTGCCTACTTGTGATCTCTGCCTGCCAAATAAATAAATAAAATCTTTTTTAAAAAAAGATCTAAAACTATAAAACAGGTGAAAATCTTGACCTTTGATTTGGCAATGATTTCCTAAGTATGATACTAAAAGTCCATGCAACAAAAGAAAAAATAGACAAATTAAACCTCATCAAAACTAAAAAACTTCTGTGAATCAAAGGACTCCATCAAGCGAGTGAAAAAACAACCCACAGAAGGGGAGAAAATGTTTGTAAATTGTATGATAAAGACTAATAGCTAAAGGGGCACCTGGGTGGCTCAGTCAACTTTCAGCTCAGGTAGATGGAGACCATGTGGGGCTTCTTGCTCAGTAGGGAGTCTGGTTCTCCCTCTCCCTTTGCCCCTCCCCCCTGCTGTGCTCTCTCTTGCTGTCTTTCTTACT